CTTTCTCAGCTACTTCCCTCCTTGGACACCCGAGAGGCCCACAGCACCCTGGATAAACTCCTTCCTAGAAGCAGGTGTTCAGGAAGCCCAGAGAAAAGCACCATTTGTATCTGTCAGCTTTCTACAACTACAAATGAATACAGTAGACAGAGAGGAAGGTATACAGTGGACTCCTTATGCCATTATACTTGTCCCCTCAAGTGCTAGTAGTATTAGGGGTCCCATGGAGAAAGAAATAGGTCCAGGACACTGGCCTGAAAACAGGCCGGAGGCATTCTGTTTCTGCCACTTAATAGCTGTGTGTCTTCAAGCAACTTCTTCAATCTCTCTGATCCTTATTTTCTTTCTCTGTATGTGAGCATAATTCCACCTACCTTCCTCCAGAAATTTAAAAAATTAAACGTGTAAAATGCCTAGAAATTGTACCAGGCACATTTATAAGGACCTCAGAAATCATGACAGTTGCTGTTGTTATCAGTCCCTCCATGTTCACATGCAAAAATAGGCCCAGAGACCCAAAGGAGATTTGCTCCCAGATCCCAGTGACAGTGGAAAGTATGACTAGTGACAGAGTCAAGACCCCTGGCATTTTGGCCAGACCTGTAAAACTATAGGCATGGTTTAATCGAGGACCACTGTAGCCAGCAACTGACATCCAACACACACATCTCAACATCTTTAATTTCTTGTTATTTTAAGGGTATTTTTTTTAACCTCTAATGCGTACCTTCCTCATCTTACGGTGATTGCAGATGGGCAGTGCAGACTTGGGGGAGAAATCGTAGATTAGGGTTACAAGGAGCCTGCCTGGTGGGTTTTATATTCCAATTCTCTTTGCCACCTGAGTTATAAACCAGCATGCTCAAGGAACCATTTGTTTCATGCACCTGCTAGTCACAGCACATGTGAAACTGAATTTGGTGGAAGCTTGAAGAGGTGGCCGTCTTTCCTGAGGCCTGTTTACAATGGTAAACATGTTTGTCAGTTCATTTAACAAGTATTACTCTAGTAGCTGAACGTGCTCGGTAGTTGCTTCTCTCAGGAGGTATCACCCCTATAAGAGGCAAGATGTGCACATAAATTTTTTAGAATACACGAAAGAACGTGCAGAGGGCTCTGATAGGCAGAGCCTGGGGCAGGCAGAGCTTCCAGGTGGGGGAGTGAGGATGGCCTTCGCAGAGGGCGTGGCCCCTGCACCTGGATCTTGAATGACAGGTCACCACTGGTTGAGACTTGAAGGCTGTCTTCAGAAAACCCAACCTGTTCATCAGTTAAGGATGCTCTTCGGGTGGTTTATCTGCTGAGGAATTGAGAGAGCAGCCCCAGCAGGTCAACAGGTGCCACTCTTTCTTGTTTTCTTTTGAAACAGGTGCATAAATATGAAATTGTCTTTGTTTGAATGAGAACACGTCAGAAGGGAACCTAAGATACTTGAGTTAATGCCAATCACCTCCATGCTGATGTTAAAACCCTAACCATATAGGACTACGTTTCTAGCTGCGGGGCAGTGTATTTAGAAGTATTTGACGACCTCAGGATTAATCAGAAGCCATCGGATGATCTCAGATACATTCTTAGTGAACTGCAATGGGTATTATAATACCGGTTCAGCAGTCTGTAGTTATTCAAAGTGGCACGTCAGTGAGCTCAGAATTCAAGGCTGAAGTAACATTCCTTTCTCCCAGAGCCACACTCAACACCATTAGTCTTTCAGCCTGCTAGAATGTTCTTTCCAAGCCATCATTGAGTGTTCATCTGGACAGAATTTCTCTGAATGGTTAATGTAATATTTAAAAGAAAAAAAAACCCACTCAAACCCTTGATACTTTGAATTTTCAAGTGGACCATGTTTGAACTTTTTCCGCCAGCTAGGAGGTCGAATCCATTGAAAATGCTACACAAAAAAAATAGCATATCCGGTTTTCTTTTTTTTTTTAATTTTACTTTATTATGTTAATCACCATACATTACATCATTAGTTTTTGATGTAGTGTTCCATGATTCATTGTTTTCATATAACACCCAGTACTCCATGCAATACGTGCCCTCTTTAATACCCATCACCAGGCTAACCCATCCCCCCACCCCCCTCCACTCTAGAACGCTCAATTTGTTTCTCAGAGTCCATAGTCTCTCATGGTTCGTCTCCCCCTCCGATTTCCCCCCTTCATTTTTTCCTTCATGCTATCTTCTTTTTTTTTTTTTAACATATAGTGTATTACTTGTTTCAGAGGTACAGGTCTGCGATTCATCAGTCTTACACAATTCACAGCGCTCACCATAGCACATACCCTCCCCAGTGTCTGTCACCCAGCCACCCCATCCCTCCCACCCCCCACCACTCCAGCAACCCTCAGTTTGTTTCCTGAGATTAAGAATTCCTCATATCAGTGAGATCATATGATACAGGTCTTTCTCTGATTGACTTATTTTGCTCAGCATAACACCTTCTAGTTCTATCCACGTCATTGTAAATGGCAAGATTTCATTCCTTTTGATGGCTGCATAATATTCCATTGTGTATATATGTATATATATATATATATATATATATATATATATATATATATATACCACATCTTCTTTATCCATTCACCTGTCATTGAACATCTTGGCTCTTTCCACAGTTTGGCTATTGTGGACATTGCTGCTATAGACATCGGGGTGCACATACCCCTTCAGATCACTACATTTATATCTTTGGGGTAAATACCCCAGTAGTGCAATTGCTGGGTCGTACGGTAGCTCTATTTTCAACTTTTTGAGGAACCTCCATACTGTTTTCCAGAGTGGCTGCACCACCTTGCATTCCCACCAACAGTGTAGGAGGGGTCCCCTTTCTCCGCATCCTCGCCAACATCTGTCGTTTCCTGACTGATTAATTTTAGCCATTCTGACTGGTGTGAGGTGGTATCTCATTGAGGTTTTGATTTGGATTTCCCTGATGCCGAGCGATGTTGAGCACTTTTTCATGTGTCTGTTGGCCATTTGAATGTCTCCTTTGGAAAAATGTCGGTTCGTGTCTTCTGCCCATTTCTTGATTGGATTATTTGTTCTTTGGGTGTTGGGTTTGATAAGTTCTTTATAGATTTTGGATACTAGCCCTTTATCGGATATGTCATTTGCAAATACCTTCTTCCATTCTGTCGGATTGTCTTTTGGTTTTGTTGACTGTTTCCTTTGCTGTGCAAAAGCTTTTTATCTTGATGAAATCCCAATAGTTCATTTTTGCCCTGGCTTCCCTTGCCTTTGGCGATGTTTCTAGGAAGAAGTTGCTGTGGCTGAGGTCGAAGAGGTTGCTGCCTGTGTTCTCCTCTAGGATTTTGATGGACTCCTATCTCACATTTAGCTCTTTCGTCCATTTTGAGTCTATTTTTGTGTGTGGTGTAAGGAAGTGGTCCAGTTTCATTCTTCTGCATGTGGCTGTCCAATTTTCCCAACACCTTTTGTTGAAGAGACTTTTTTCCATTGGACATTCTTTCCTGCTTTGTCGAAGATTAGTTGGCCATAGAGTTGAGGGGTCCATTTCCGGGTTCTCTCTTCTGTTCCATTGATCTTTGTGTCTGTTTTTGTGCCAGTACCATACTGTCTGGATGATCACAGCTTTGTAATAGAGCTTAAGTCCGGAATTGTGATGCCACCAGCTTTGCTTTTCGTTTTCAACATTCCTCTGGCTATTCGGGGTCTTTTCTGGTTCCATACAAATTTTAGGATTATTTGTTCCATTTCTTAGAAAAAAGTTGATGGGTTTTTTCTTAAAATGACTTCTGTCAATCTTTTAAAGAATCTCTTTAAAAATAGTTTGCTGTTCTGCATAAAAAGTCATCAGATGACTGCTTAATAGAGGCGGAGGGCATGGCTTCTAATCATAATTCGTTTGGAACAGATAAGCCAAGTGTGGATTTTTTTCTCTTCCTATTAGTTTTACTCCTAAGAGGGAACACTAGTAGCCAAAAGTTTGGAAAGTTTTCTCAAGGTATACTGTTGACATAAGAGCCACTTGAGTACAACAGTGGAGCCTCTCCCAGATTTTGCCACCTTGCCCTCATCTTTCTCTCTACCTGGTAATTCTCCCACGAGAATGAAAGCACCGCGCAGTTTCAACCTCCTCCTCCCTGGTCTCATTTCCAGCTGTTAGAGAAATGCCTTTGTGCCACACACGTCCCCTTCAGATTAAGAAATACCCTCCTCCCCTTGCAAGAGTGAGAAGTTTGTCTTTTGCAGAGCACACATATAAAACTAGCAAAACTAAGTCACCGAAAATTTAAGTTCATGGGTCTGTATCACAGTCAGGGAGGGGTGACCCGAGGGCCTTTTAGGGACACTGTCAGCCAGTCTCAGCTCCCTTCCTTCCGTCCCAGGAAAGCCTTCAAAAAGAAGTGGAAGTCTGGTGTTTACTGTGTAAAGTTAATATGTGGGTATTGGTGTGTTCGCAAGAGTACCTAATTTCAGAATGCCAAATAACAGGGTTAAAGGGCTTTAGAAATGCTTTCTCCCATATTCATTCTATCAGAACATTTAGGTTAAAGAAAAAAATTTTAAATAACATTCTCACACTGCCCATTTGATTTTCATTCCTTGACTTCTGGTTTTTGATACGAGGACACTAAGTAATGCTCAGAGAGTCAGATCTTTTTAAACATTAGAAATTAATTTTGCTTGCTTTTGTAATTCCTGTTCTTATTTCAAGTTCCCCCTTTCTTGCTTATATTCCTCTGTATAAATCATAACCTGGAACACTTGACATGATTCAAAATGTATAATTTATTTGTGGAATTTATATTATTTGGAATTTTTACACAGTGGATTAAGTAACTCCTTAGCAATAGTTCAGCCTCTCTTTCCGAGAAATCAGTTATTTTAAGCGAACATGAAAAATAGTAGCCCCCGCCCCTTGCATAGGTGCATTATGAGAAATGGCTCCCCGGGTAACGTACCACCCATACGTGCCGCCGCGTCCATGGCCAGTATATGTATGCATGTGCTTTCTCTTCCTACAGGCAAGGCAGTTTTCCGGGCATGAATCAGAGTGGACTTATGGCTTCCAGCTCTCCCTACAGCCAGCCCGTGAACAACAGCTCTGGGCTGATGAACACCCAGGCACCCCCCTACAGCATGACGCCCAATATGGTGAACAGCTCAGCAGGTAACCACGGCAGCTCCGCGCTCTGAGAGCTGCCCTCCCCTCCCCCTCTGCCCCCCCCCCTCCTCCCGGCCTGCACTGGTGAGCAACCCAAGCCCTGGGATCTTTGGGTGAAAAGGGGACACACTCCACTTTTCTGCTGCCTGGAAACCTGCTCAATCTACGTAACTGTTTCAAGACACGAGGATCACATTATATTTTGTGTAAATGATTTGAATGCCCTCTGTGTTTTTGTAACGTGTGGGCACATTCCGCGGGACTCTGGGGACTGCTTGCTAGATGTATACACTAAGCTCTTTTTCTCTTTCGGCACATTCGAAGTATCGGAAGATCCCCCGACAAAATCGATGCTCCATTCGGTAGTGGTGGAGATGAACGCTTCATCTTTCAGGGGAGGTGATTGAAGGGCAGAACAAGGGGGGGTTGAAGTACTTTTTCACCTTGAAATATATACCCGGAAGTAGTTGTTCATAAGTGCTGTCTGCAGACTGTCTCTAGTGAGAAATTCTATATTATTTTTTTAATGAACTATTTTAGATTTTCCCTCGTGTTTAACTTTTCCAACCCACCTGGTGATGTCAACAACTGTATTCTTACCGAATCCCATCCGATCGGTGCAGTAAGAGTATCAGTTTGTGGAAACACCAAAAATGTCGACACCTGTGCAGAGTCTGTGTTCGCAGATTCCTTAGACCCCGAGCCATCTCCTCAAGCCCCACGCTCCCCGGCAGTTGAGGGGCGCTGCTCTTTAGATGAGGAAAGGCTGTGGGTCACAACTGACCTGAACGTCCAGCACCTGTTGGAGGGGGAGGCACTGTCTCGGGTAGGATGCTGTCCTTTGGTGAATGCAGACCATTGTGTGGCAGTTGTGTGTGTCCTGCGATGTTTTACCATGTGTTAGGGAAACACCATGGAGTTAGAGGCTTGGCGCTCCCTTAGTACCTTTTCTCATCTCCTCTGCCTTTCGCCACCCCTCTGACCTGTCCATCTTGGAAAGGCCACCCCAGGAGCTGTTGTTAGAGGCTGGGCTTGCATCCTCTCTGAGCTTCTGAGTTGCTGGTTTCCAGGGTCTCATTTAACAGTGCCATTCCCTGATTGCGTCTCTTTAAAAGTATGTGGAAGAGGAAGAAAGAGTGGCGAAATGGAAGGTTTTCAAATAAATAGAATAGCCCTTCCTGATATTGGTCATTAATCCCAGCAACGTGGGTGTTTTTAAACTTGAGATGAAAGGGGAAAGCTCTTAACCAGTCTGTTAACCAGAAACTTCCCCTCCCCTTCTCAGCACTGTCCCAGGTAATAGGGTATTTGGGTTACGACATTATGTGTTTTGTCTGGCTTGCTGAAATAAAATTACTCCAGAGCATTGAAACTACACAATAAATTTTCACCCACTATTAGCAATACTCATTTTTCCCTTTTTCCTTTGGACCCCAGAACCACAAAAATAACCCACCACAAAGAGATGGCACCGTGCCCTGCCTAAGAAGATTTATGTGTTCCTAAGGAATAACCAGTTTAATGTAGATTCGCAGAGAGGGTTTCTTTTTATTATTATTATTATTCAGATAAATCAGCTCTTCATTATTTCCTACACAGGAAACCTGTTCAATGAAAGGCTATTTATCCTCACAGTCTTTTGTATGGGCTAGTAGGATTTTTTTTTTTATTGCATTGTGTATTTTGAAACACTGAATTTTTGATAATTTAGACGTTTATCAAATTTTCCTCTGCACATTTAGGTGATTTTATTCCAGCTCTATAAGTCAAATGCTACCTGATAGAAAGTAGTCATCTAGCTAGCACATCCAAAGAATATTGATGATTTAGCATGTACTGTGTATCTGTTGATAGGCACACGTCAAGCTGCTATCCCTGTGTTACAGTCTCTGAGGGAAACAGGAATGACAGAGGAACCCATAAAGTTACAGAGTGGCTCCTGACGAGTTTTGGTCTGAAGTGGTACTCTTGACTTTTTCTAGAGTTGGGCCAGAAATGGCTTTGATCGTCATCACATCAGTCTACTTGGTTTGGGCCCATGCAGATCAGTTACCAGTGATAAGGGCAAAGCATCTTCTCTGTGTGAGGGCACTTTTGGAGCAAGTGAAGATAATACCCATGATGGTCCAGGGTTGGGGGTGGGATTTGCTGAACCTCTGTTAGCAGCTTATGCAACTGGCCTTCCAGCATCCTCTTTGCGGAGTTCAGACAATTGTGATATAGACGGGGTACAGGGCCAAAAAACGTCTTTCTGTGTAGTGACAAATTGTTACAGGCTTCAGTGAGCAAGTAATTATTCAAATGGAGTCAGTGTGAGTATGAATGTGACAACTATTTCTTCATTTTAAAATGCAGGGGAAGTGGGGTGCTAAGCAGTGGGGAGGGCATTTTTTTCCCTCTAAAGGAGCTTTTTTCAAAAAAATTATTTGCAGTAAAAGATTAGAATTACATAATGCGATGGGCAAAATTATAAGTCATGTATAGCCTTGTTAAATACCCCCTTTTATAATACTTGTGTTATTAGCTATGTTATACTTCTTTGTGTTTCCTTTTATAACATTCATTAGTCATATACTTGTCTTTATATAAACCATCATCTTAAAGAAGACATCTAAATTCCAGAAAATATATCTACCATCTGTGGTTCTAAGTTTGCCTCACTGGAAGCCACTCTGCAAAATGTAGGGCATTTCCATCCAGATAACCTACAGATAGTAAATGAGCCGCCGTATACTGCTGTAGTCAGGCCTTCCTCTTATACAAGAGCCCTGTCAAATTACAGATCTTTCTTCCAACCTAGCACTGCTCCATCCCAAAGGCAGTATCCTATTGATGTCCTACCAGTATGGGGCATACTAGCTCCATTAGCCCTTACAGAGAAAAAAAGGCAAGCTCACTACCACAGGATCGACAGCTTCCTTCGGTGTTCTCAAAAATCGAGAACCACGTGTCACCTGGAATGCTTGTTAAAACTACAGATTTCTGGGCCCCAGTCAGAATTTCTGAGGATGTTCCTAACAGACTCCTCAGGTAGTTTTCATAAGTGCATGCTGAAGCTTAAGAACCGCCGATTTAGAGGTATTTTGCTCAGCAGTCTCCTGGCAGAAGCCCTGCCTGCTTTGTGTGGCATTAGCTATTTGCTGTCTTGAAATTTAAAAAAAATTTACAAAAGAGGGCACGTATTGAATGGAGCACTGGGTGTTATACGCAAGCAGTGAATCATGGAACACTACATCAAAAACTAATGATGCAATGTATGGTGATTAACATAACATAATGAAATTTAAAAAGGATCTTGAAGAGAAAAAAAAGATCTAGCACCATTAAAAAAAAAAAAAAAAAAACTTTGGCTAGCATATAAATCTACCAGATGGATAGGTGTTTTCTGTCTTGAGGCTTTAGGATCCTTCTCTGAGGAAGTTTTGGGTCTTTAGCACCATTGCTAGTGGTTAGTTGTCTAAGCAGTTTATAAGATCGTTGGGTATTTTGTTTGCTTGCTTGCTTGCAAGCAATGATCTTAGGTGAATTGCCATCCTCCCTCAAAGACATAAAAGGTGTAATAAATGATGAAAACCATATCTCTTCAAGGGGGTAAAATGTATCCCGGGATTTTGCCAAGTCGGTTGGTAGCTGTGGACTCTGTCTGGGGCTGGGGCTTTCTGGAGAGCGTACTGGGTTTTCTCAGGTTGCATGTCTCCTTGGGTTGCCTATAATGGCGAGGGCATGGATGGAAATTATGGTGGTGTGCGTCTCCCTTGCCCTGCCCCTGCGGAGGTACATCAGCAGAGAGAGGTGTCAGAAGGTTCTTTCAAGGCCTTGCTGATCCGGTCCAAGAGAGAGAAATGTTTCTCCTGAGCTTCCTTCCCTCATGCCCTTCATATGTGTTAACGTTCACGGTGCTCTTGATGTACGTGCCACATATAAGAAGAGTCATGACTATCTACAGATGTATACACATAGATAGGCCCTCCTGTGTTTTCAGAAACAGGGAATAAAAGATTTTGGCCATATGCTGTATTGTTTACCATGAAAAGAACAAACCGTATGTTTGTTTCTGGTCCCATTTCTCCATCGTCTGGGAGTGACTTTGTCGCCTTATAGGAAGACTAAGTAAAGAAAGCTGAGCGAGTAAGAGTGAATGTTGGAGTTCAGTTTTGCTCACACCATATGTTCTTATGTTCCTTTTGAATATATTATTAAATCTGGGGTGGAGTAGCTGCCTTAGGACTTTGACCCACACTTACTTTAGGAAATCATTCGAACTCTTAAATTTCAGGTGTAAAGCCAGAGGCTAGCGCCTGAAATGTATTTACAGTACTCATACAACACTTTCTGCAGGCCCGAGTTCTTTACTGCCCCTTTTTATGTCTGAACTTTACATACTGGATTGCTGATGTCAGTAGGAGAAAGAACAGGGCCTTGATTTAACACATCCTTACCATAGTGGTGGTCTTTCTCTTCTGGGAAAGGAGAAAAAAAAAAATAGTGCTCCTGGAGTGTCATTGCCCTGGGAGGCCTATAGCTCTTTGCAGTGATTCATTGAGAATTCTGGTAAGAAGTCAAAAATAAGCATTTCAACAAAAGGAATAGTAAAAGCCACAGTAAGGAAAGACCTTGTGATCCATTTAGTAAAATAAAATTTGCAGTGTAAGGCAGGAATACTAAATAAAACTATTACTCTCAATCCTATCCTTATTTATCTCTCAAAAATCATAAAGCAGTGCCACTTTTGACCATTTTTATATTTGCATACCCTAAATGCCCGTTTAAAAATATATAATAGCGAGTGAAGAAATTTGGGGCATCTCAAACCAAAAGATATGCTTAAATTCATCTGAGTCTGATTTTTAAATCAGTGTAAATTATTATCATTCATTATAATAATACATCTTAGCCTACTTCTTTATGCTTAAAAATTGTTTTGGGGTATGTTAACACAGTGAATGTACAAAGACGAATATTACTATTTTCTGTCTCTCAACAGTAATATTCAGGCATAATTTGTTCCAAATTATGGAACAAATTCATGGAACAAATCCAGAACTATTCATTATAACCTTTGAACAAGCAGGCCCTCGCAGAAGCCACGTGTCCGTGACTTTGCCACGTTCTTGGGGTTGTGTGACCGTCGTTCCCCAGTGACAGCTCTGAATAACTAGCAAGGACGTGGGGACTTTTATAAAGAAGCTCCTCCTCCCACGTTCGTCCTGCTCTGTTTCCCCCTTCTGTTCTTCTAAAAAGGGTGTTTCTCAATGTACGGATTTACTGATCCCGGGAGAGAAGACTGCACGAAAGCAGCCCCGCGCTCTGAGCAGGGCGGTCCTGGGGCGGTCTCTCTCAGCTGCTTTCCTGGGGTTTCACACATTCACCAAAATAACAGCATTTTTAGCTGATCCCAATAGATTTTTCTCTGCAGCTGCATCACTTGAAAAAGCTTTTTGTTCCAGTTCTTAAAGTCTAAGTATTGAAAGTAATTTGGGGGGGGGGGGAAGAAAGAAAGGGGAAAAAAACATCCCAATTATGATTTGTGTGCGTGGTGATGACTTCAAGGGCTGGCTGGCTGCAGACGGGCTCGGAACCGCTCGCCAGTGAGCGCGTGCAGACCGGCGCTTCCCCGGGTGTTAGCAAGCGTGCCGCTGGACTCCTGGGCACGTGGCGGGGTCGGCATTTTTGTCAGGACCTCTGGTCTCAACCTGCCGTGATGCTAAGGATATTAGCAAATTAGCACCACCAAGCGTGCCAGCTAATTCGCCAGAGCCCTGCTCACTCTCACTGCTGTAATTAAAACTAATTATTTTCTAAAACATAGTAATACATGAATATGTGCAATAATCATTTTGTAGTGGGCAATCTGTGGAGCCTTTTTTAAAGCTGCTGCTTTTTTTTTTTTTTTGGCACATTATGCAACATGCGCACTGCCTTGGTTGAGCCAGCACTTTTGTTTGCAGAATGGAGAACGGGTCCTGTGCATAAAACCTCAGGCTTATTTTATGTTGAGATAGGAATGTTTCCTGGCTTTCGCTCATTGACAAAGCTCTTAATTCTCTCCGTTCTCTGCTCTCTTCTGCTTCCCTCCCTCTTCACACATCTGTTGGGTGTCGTGCTCCCAGCCCAGTGTTGTGCAGATGGTTTTCACAGTGGGGTTCTGTAGAAATTCAGCTGCTATTCCCTGGATGTCTACACTGATTCCCTGCTGTAGCCTTGATCTTCCTTTAAAAAGAAATCCAAACCCTCCTTTTCAACCCAAAAATGTCTATTCGTATTCGTAATAAATGGGTATAAATCAGTTGTTCTTTGGTGAACCTTTCCTTCTAAATCCTAGATGAACTTGATTGAATTTCTGAGCCTTGAGATAGAAAATGAGTTTTTCTGGGAATCGGAACGTTGACTCTTGAGCTGGTGTGGGTGTCTGACCTGGGCATGTGAGCCGCTGCTGGGGATTGATAAATGTGCACAGAGCCCCAGACTGAAAGGAAACCAGCCACATTGCAAAATAATTAGAAATCCTGTCCTTCAAAAATTACTTTTGATTATTGTGTTTGAAGTCATTTGTTCCAGCTGTTTTCCATTAGTGTGGACTAGGCCACATGCGATAGATAAGACTTTCAAATGAAACAATATAAAATGTCAAGTGATTTTGCAAACTGTAGATTCTGTAAATTTAGGAAATTAGGAAGGCACGAAATCCTCCTGTCACCAGGTAAAAAATACACACACCCAGTATTTCCTTTCACTCCTGATGAGCAATTGAAACATTGGACTTAACTTCCACCTGTCACCTACTCTAGCAAAGCTGTAGTAATTTTGAAAAAATAATATTGATATGAGTTGACTTTCAGTGGCTTGGGTGTTGAGTAAATGTGTTTTGTTTTGTTTTTTAAGTTAAAAAGGACTGGCAGAATGTCGTTCTATTTAGATTTCCAGAAAACTGGTGTGCCCTCAGTTACAATTTCTCTTTTCTTCTCTTCCTTCAAGGGAAATTCAAGTGCCCCATGGGTCACTCAGTAACTTGTGTTAGCGGGAACACAGCCCGATGCATCACATGTATAATCCTAAACTCTTTCTCCTGTTTTCGATTAGCATCTATGGGTCTTGCAGATATGATGTCTCCCGGGGAATCCAAATTGCCCATGCCTCTCAAAGCCGACGGTAAAGAAGAAGGCACTCCGCAGCCTGAGAGCAAGTCGAAGGTACTTCCTTTCTCCTCTGCACGTGGTGTGGGGTCTGCCTTCCTGCAGCTGCCATGGTGTTCTAGTCACTGGTGTCGGCCTCCACTTTTGTTTCCATTTGGTTTCTTCTCTTCTGCATGCGTCCATCTCGTGCACCACGTTTGTAGTTCTCTCTTTCCCCACCCCCTCCATGGTGTGGATCTGAAAGTTACTAGTTCTTACGGCATTGAACTCATGGTGGTGGGAGAGGGGCGGAGGGACAAGACCCACCGAAGAGAGATGCTTTGGGGGTGGGGAGAAGGAAGGGGTCTTGCCTGGTTTTGATACTTGCAGCCATTTTCTCTGCCTTCAGTTTATAGCTTCCTGTTTTGGCCGCCTCAGCAACAACAACATACTTAATATTTTGCTTTCCTGCCTTATTTGATAAATAAGGTGAACAGCTTTTTTTTTCCTTTCTTTCTTTCATAAGGGGTAACCCATGCTTAGCATTCCATGTAAGCTTGAAGTAAGCATGGTGGCTTAGTGGCCTTATCCAGCATCCAGCAAACTTACCAAATTATACTAATTAAGAATGTTGTTTTAATACCTTTATATGTGTGTGTTTTTGTGTGTTTGTTTGTCCATGTCTTTATATATATCCATTATATATAAAAATTAGTCTGTTAAACTGGATGTTCTTTTTGTTATTTTAAATAAAGTTTGCCCTACCTTTGTCATTTTTTTTTTTTTTATTCCTCTACCACAGGATAGCTACAGCTCTCAGGGTATTTCTCAGCCCCCAACCCCCGGCAACCTGCCAGTCCCTTCCCCAATGTCCCCCAGCTCTGCTAGCATCTCCTCATTTCATGGAGATGAAAGCGATAGCATTAGCAGCCCAGGCTGGCCAAAGACTCCATCAAGCCCTGTAAGTGGCTCTGGTTTTTTTGTTTTTTTGGTTTTTTTTTTTTTTTCGGTTTTTGGGGTTTTTTGATAATTAATTAATTCTACTTTAATGCTTGCTTATTTATTTGTTTTATAAGACTTTTTCTTCATAATTTATCCATGAAAGGGTTTTCTTGATAATTATAGTAGTAACGAAATGAGTAACGTTTGTGTAAATCGTAGAAGTTGATTTCTGGTAATGAAATGGCTATTATAAAGAAGCACCTCTGTATGAAGCATGTGATTGTGTTACTGGGTCCAAACTCCTTCATGCAGTGACTTTGTTTAAATGTCTGATCCGTTGTGCACTTACAGAAGATCTTCAAAACGAGTTACTTCTCCATTTACATGGGAACTAATAGCAGCCACGGAGTAAATGACAAATTTGGCCTTTGGCCTAAATCTTTCATGGGCTGTTGTATTTGAAACATCTTATTTCAAAACTGCCTACCTGAAAATATAGATATTACACTCTGGGCACAGGTTAGCATAATATCAGCCCTGCTTTGTTTCAATCCACCTGTCAAATTAACAGAAAAGGTGTAGGAATGTTACCACATGTGAATATTTGGAATATGTACCTACATTAGAATCAGTCGAGGTAGAAAAATTACCTCCTGCACAAGACTGCTGATCGTCTTGAAATTAAGTGTTGATTTCCATATGATATGTAAAAAACAAAAATGGTGATGTACCTGTAAGGGAATTTTTTTTTTTTTTTTTAGCCTTAATGTTCTTCTGTCCATAGAGCTTGGCCTTTATTTTCCTACTGAAGAAATTAATTCTGTGCCATTAAAAAAAAAAAGAGTAAGAATGGCACTGTAGTAACCTTTATTTTACATTCATATAGGGAATCAAAAGATCTGTTTAAAAAAAAAAAAACGTTAACATGCAATTACTTGCCAAGAAGGCTTAATTAACACGCTAATTTTTGTAAGACGATGTATTGAAGAGTGCAGCTCAGGAAAAGTCAGTTGGAGGGAAGAAGCCTCTATGTGCAGAATCTGGCAATCTAGTCAAAACCCCAAAAGGAGGCTGCTATTAATTATCCATTCACTGGTTTAAACAGATAGAGCTGAAGGTTTGAAGGGTTGGTGGTTCCAGTAAATGTTTGTAAAATTCATGTGGAGCTCTAGCATAACCAGCATTTTCCTTTTCAAAGGAAGAAAGGGCGATATTCGCTGTTACCTTCTCTGTAGACATGTTTCGCTTTTGCAACAGCCAAGATGAAATGAAAAATGCTCTAGGGCGGGTTAAGCAGAACTAACAGGAAGGGGGAGTGCAAAGCCTGCATTTTGATGTCCTTGTGTATTGGCTTTGAGTCTCAGAAGGCAGCCAGCGTTGTGGGGGTTTTCCCCATAATCTACCCCGGTGTTGTGTTTTGTTTTGTCTTAATCATAAGAAAAGCATTTTTGAATCGGCCTACTGTCAAGGTAACAGGTGGAACTCAAATTATAACTTTTCGAAAACATTTGTATGTTGGTTCAAAGGGAAAAATTTCAGAGGTTGAAAATAATAATCTTTAAAACCTTAACGTAATAATTAAGAATAATAAGTTAAGAAAAACAAAGCCTACTAATAGATGATATTACATGTTTAAAAAAATAAATTAACTAAAAAATTAAAAAATAAAAATTCCACATTGCCAACTCTGGATTTATAAAGATTGAGTGAGATATTTATGATATTTTAACTTAACTAATTAGGTTATCTCCATACAATGAATCCTGTAGGAAAGAAACTTCTATCAAAAAAAATAAAAAGCCCACTTTCCCCTTAAGTGTAAGAAAAAAGTAAAATGAATTGTAGACTTCATTTTCTGATTATAAAACAATTATGCTTAAAACTGTATGTTACTTTTCCCTTTTTTCTAAATATTTCAACATACATTATCTCTTCCTGTACCATAACCATTTTATGTTTAAGAATTTATGGGGCACCTGGGTGGCACAGTTGGTTAAGTGTCCAACCCTTGGTTTCGGCTCAGGGCATGATCTCAGGGTCGTGGAACAAGCCCTGCCCCGGGCTCCACGCTCAGCTCAGAGTCTGCTTGTCCCTCTCCCTCTGCCTCTCCCTCCGTTTGTGCTTGCGCGCTCTCTCTCTAAAATAAATAAAATCTCAAAAGAAAAAGAATTTACAAGCAAACTTCTGGCTCCAGCGGTAGAGAAGGACAGGAGGAGCTCTGTATTCAGAACGTGGCCCCTGCCTTGGATGAGATGCTAATTTAGGAAGGGAACCAAAAGCGATGGGAAGGAAGGACCCAAGAGAATCTCTGCTGTCAAATCACCGCTGACATGCACAGTTTAGGAATATTTAACCGTCCTTTCTGAGACACAACTTCAATTTGTACTTCAGATTGCTCTTCCCAGTGTCTCTGTTAAAACCTGTCTCACAGCAGGCCTGAAATGGACTACATGATGAAGATGTTCCGTGCTTTGACAGTGTGCTGTGGACCAACATTGTTTTGTTATGGAACATTCTAAAATAAAAATAAACATTTGCACATACACATATTACCAGGCATATGGTAAAGACTGCTGAAATGTAAATCTGCCTGAAAGATTTGAGAAAAACTGTACTTATAGACTTAATTAAACTACCCGCAAGGAAAACATTTGTGGCGCCATAATGTCCTGCTCCAGTCTTTCAGCAATCTCCCTTCCCTTTCCTTGGGTCCATGACACTTTAGGGCGCTAGGATACAGTTTTTACAACGCTGAAGCAGTGTGAGGTGGTCCCAGGGACCTGGAAGGGTCATCCCATCTTTCTGCGGGGCTGGCTTGTTGGCCCAAGGTCGGTGGGTAGAGTGTATAATGACACCTACCCAAAGGTTACATCACAGCTAATGTCTGTGAACTGAAGAAGGTACGTGTTGAGCCTAATCAGCGATAAAGTATGTACCCTTTATTTCCTAACACTTTTGTCTCTCTTAACATCCTTTTTCTCTGTTCAGTCACCCACATACCGACTTTGATAATTGGCTAGGAAACAGACCTTGAGGCTGGGGGTGGAGGTGGCAAGGGCCAGTCATAGGCATGATGATCCCTCCTGTTTTCAGTCTCGTTAGATTGCGTCCATGTTTCCTTAGCACTTCGATCACTGAAATCTCATTTATAGGATATTTTATTCAGCTGTGAATTCTTCCTTGGAGGGTGCCAGACTTCTCAGACCTTTTTTGTCCATTTGAGTACCCGTTCACAGAACAGATTCGATACCAGCTACCTCCAGTGTGCTCACTGTTGGTGATTCAAAATCAGCTCGGACCCTGCCTGTGGAACTTAAAATGTAGTCAGAAAGATGTAGGACAGACCAGTAATCCCATGCAAGGCATACACTTTTTATAAGCTGTGTAACCAGGGGCCACTGAGGACAAATAAAGTGGGCGACAGTGATTTAGATGAAGGAGCCTCGGGTGCCTGGGAGGCCTCTTCCGGGACGTAACATGTCACCTCAGGCCTGACCACTTTCTTTCCATACAGATGCATTTTCCTACATTATGGTGCCATAAAAATCCTTAAGTCTTTTTTGAAGATCTAAAACCGATGCTATGCAAAACAAGAGGATTCAATTAAAAAAAAAAAAAACATTGTTTTCATTACGTTTTTCTAACTTTATGAGAACAAATTGAGGTGTGCAGAAGTTAATTAAATTCAAGTTCATTTAACAAAGGATGGCAAGAAAAGTGAAAATATATATAGCCAAACTAAGTGTACTGTTATTTTAGGCCCGTCTCAGGTTATGGGATACATTAAGTTCATAAATGGGAACAAACATCTGCATAGTCTCTCTGCTCGGGTCCTGATTAACTGTCCTCCCAGAAGCCTTCCCCAGTTTGGCCATGGAGAGGACCAGGCCAGAAATGGCAGGTGAATCTTCCATTCAGAATTTTGGTAGAGACACTCAAAGTAATTTTAAATCAAAATGACTGCTTTTATTTCTCTTACCCTGAATTGAATATTGAACTTTTACTTCTCAATTTTTCAGAAATGAAATGCAAGAGAGAGGGTGGTGGGGTTTTTTTATTATTATTATTGATTTTAGGTGATAATGCTTTTTTCCTCCTGTTATTTCTAATTTTCATTTTTCAATAAACGTTGGACCCATTTTCTACTGCTCCCCAAAAGGAAAAATTTATTTTTAAACTAGCATTTAGAAACCTCTTCGTAATAACTACCCCATTAGTGATGACAAAGCTTCTGGAATGTGGTATAAAATGCACTAGGACAGTTTCTTTTCCTAGTCAGATATTCCTTGGGTACAAGAATATGGAAGAGAAAGTTTAAAAACTTAGCATTTGGATATACAGTGTGTTCCATTTTCTGAGTATGCACATGGACATGTAGCTATATATATATATGAATAAAAGTAATGTTTAAGTGACTTACTGTTTAGCCTTGACATCAGTGTAAATTCTAAAAGACGACACTTTTTATCCTACCACCCTAAATCTTTTATTTACATCAATTTGTATCACCCTTTTTTTTTGTATTTAATGTAAAGATTTTATGCCTCAATAATTCTAAGTCTGAAGGCTTAAAATTTCAGCAGCAGTAGTTCAGGAGAAGTGTACGTTAAGTGGGGGAGAAAATGCCACTCACCAGCTTTGTTAGTTTCGTTCTCAGGCATCCTTTCTGAGGTCCTACTTTTATTGGGGATCCTTTGCTAAATAAAGTAACATCAAACTTTAATGGCAGTCATGTTACTTAACCCCCAAAATTTCAGCTATGCGTTTAAAATTGTTAAGCTAAATATAATGGAAAAGAGTTAAGAAAAACTCCCATCTAAAACAATGGCTATCCATTGCAGATGATAACTGGTAAATAATACACATGAGGAAATGAAGTCAATTCTTATTCCAAGGAAATCTTCATTGAGAATTTAGAAGTAATTTTTCACAATAACCCTGGAGTTGCAAAGATTACAAGTACACAAATCACTGTTACAAATATAGAGACATAAAAGAAAGGAAAGATAGATATTTGAGCTGTTTAGGACCAGAAGTGTTAACCTTTCCAGATCACATAACCCAGAAGGTGGGCTTCAGTTATGCAGAAACAGTAACTTTCGACATTTTACTATCAGCTGTAATTAGAAAAACAAAGACAAGAATTAGAGCATCGATATAAAGCACATGAGCCCATAAACCCACGTGTGTAAAAGTAAGTGTATATTTCTATCCATAGATGTTCAAGGAGAATGAAATAGAACATGTGTTTGTGATTAAAGCATGGTTGCCTAAGAAATCCGTTTAAATAATTCTCTAGGAGCCCCTTGCCTTGGTAGAGAAGTTCAAGAAATCTTAAGTAGGGAAAGCTAGTCATGAGCAAATGCCGAAACTTTAGCTGGCCACTAGTCTGTAAAGCTTGCAAATGAGCATAGAGCCCACACCACCAGTTCCTGGGATTTGGGACCTACCTTACATTTTGCAGCAAGTCCCATATCTGCTTTCCTCCACATGCTTTAGCATTTTAATGAGGACACACATTAGCCATTCTTATTTTGACAAGAAGTAAGAGTCCATATAGTTTTGGGGGCTCTATATTACGGACATGTGAAATTTTAAATTCACTGATGATTCTATGAGCGAGCACCCTTCTATCGTTAAAAACAATGTGAGGTGTCATTGGAATCATGCCTTCTGGGATTCAACGCTTATATCAAGTAAAAAAAGGTTTTTGTTTTTTGGTTTTTGTTGTTGTTCTTTAAGTATATAAAAGGGGGAGTTTGGGCCCTTTATTTAAAGTCAAAGTAAAGTCTTAATTAAGAAAATGTATAGTTTGTGCCTGAACTAGTAGCCTTCATTCCTAATTGTTGTGTGATAGCAGTAGTTTTTAAATTTCTTCTCTTCTCGTATTTGGTAGCTCATGACTTTCTTCTCACCTTCTTCCCTTTTCCCTCTGCCCGCCCATACCCCACCTCCAAATGCCCCTTCTGGGCGCTAGAAGTCCAGCTCATCCACCACCACCGGGGAAAAGATCACAAAGGTGTATGAGTTGGGGAATGAGCCGGAGAGAAAGCTGTGGGTCGACAGATACCTTACCTTCATGGAGGAGAGGGGCTCGCCTGTCTCAAGTCTGCCCGCCGTGGGCAAGAAGCCCTTGGACCTGTTCCGGCTCTACGTCTGCGTCAAAGAGATTGGCGGCTTGGCACAGGTGAGAGTACGTGAGGGAGTCGCGGAGACACCGTACGGAAGCTCTCCCTGCACGTTTCTTTGAATGTGCAGACTCAGACTTTTTTTTTTTTTTTTTACCCCCCATAAAGAAAAAGCTAAGCCTGTGGGCTCCATGTCTGTGTGCTGCAGGGAGAGCACTAGGGCTTGGGACCCTGGTCCTGCCACCAACTCGCAGGGTGACCTCGGCAGGTCATTTATGTGGACCTCCGTTCTCATCTGTAAAGTGAGACGGTTGGGCTAGATTTTTCTTTAGGGTCCCTGACCGCTGTAGAATTCTGTGGGCTCTGCCAAGATGCCATAGGAAATACTCCAGAAATGTTTTGCGAATGACCAAATTAATTGTCTCAATCAGTTCTAAATCCAGTTCACTCTCCCTCTATCCGGAGCAACTGATGAAGGAAACAAAGTCCCACATCCAGCAGCACGTCCCCAGGACCCAGGCCGTAAGAGGGCCAAGAGCTGTCATTTTTGCCCAGGGTTGAGGCTGGAAGACAGCAGGGGCGACGCCCAATCTCAGAGGGCACTCACGTCAGGGCTGTGCGGTGCCTGCCCTCTCAGCCAGTGCTCCCTTCGTCTTTGTGCCCAGGGGGCCACGCTGTCCTCACCAGGGTCCTGGCGCCACTTGCAGCATGGCGTCTAGTTCCGAGCACGGGTCCTGCAAGAGGAACAGGGAAAAGGGTGTCCCTGGATACGTGCCCACTGCGTGCTGGGCACTGTGCTTTACCATTGTTCTGGCTTTGTCTTTCTGAATACCCATAAAATGCAGGAGGCATCAGCCCCCAAGAGAGGAGGAAGCTGTCACGGAATGAGGTACGATCATGTGGCCCAGGGCACTCAGTGGGCGCGGGCCTGGCCTGCTCATTCTGAGACGTGCGCTCTTCTCATCCACCAGCAACTCTCAGCCTGCTTCTCTGTTAGTAGTATTTGGGGAGCTTTAACAACCTGCCAGTACCTGGGCTCCCACCCAGATCAGTGAGAGGAGCTACTCTGGGCCCGGGGGGTCTAGTGCACAGTGTGGCCCCCTGCACTCTAGCCAGGTACCGTGGGACCAAGAGTGAGTCACCTCATCCACAAGTGTCACCGAGGGCCCGCCCTGGTCTCAGCGCTGTGCAGCTCTGGCGGATGCAGGAGAGGCCTTTGTTCTCAGCCTTCCCTGGGGTGCCTCATCCCACCAGAGACCCGCAGTGTAGAACTGAAACAGGGCTTGATTCCAGGCTTTGTGGAAATGGATGGTAAGTCATACAGTGCAGACCACCTGAGTGAGAATTGGTCAGTGGAGAGGGAGCTCAAGATGCACACCTCTCCCCTGCACCTAGACGCCCCCCCCCCAACTTTCCCCTCTGCGCCTAACCTCCTGGCATAGAATTTTAGAATCCACGGGACACTGTCACCCTCAAACAAGTATAGAGAGTGTCTGGACACCTTACTTGGACTCTTTCAACGGTGTGGGTTACCGTGTTGGGTCTGCAAGTAAGGCTCGTTGCTGGCCTAGCTAACAAGGGAGGTTTGATCGTAGCTGTGATGCACAGTGGTGAGCCACTTGGCCACATTGTCGCTCATACCCCATCTTGATATCTGGCTGGTGGCCCTCAAATGTGGTCGGGGCAGGTACTTGCAGTCACATAGAGATCAGTGCAAAGCCTTGCTTTTCAGGGTGTCCCAGGCAACACCCTGCCCAGCCCTTCTGAAGCCACCCACAGGCCTGCTTGTTGCAGCCTGGCCTTAAGTGCCAAAAGTGGAATTGGGCATTTCGCGAGCAACCATACGTTTGTTTATCATGCACCATTTAGTACTAAGTAAATGGACATAAAGAGCTTTGTGAGAAAGTTTGAATCCAAAAATGGAACATTTCATTAAAAAAAACCCACTGTTCCCCTAACCCTTACTATGCTACTTAGCACAAGGCGTGCATGCCTAAAGGCAAAATAGTCCCCAAGTATTTGCGGGTCTGCATGTTTCCTTCAGGCATTCGTCCTTGGATAACTCTGGCCCAAGTGGGAATCAGCAGTTAATGCCCCAAACCCTTTTGTAGCATTTCAGGCTTTCTCTCCCCTTTTTTTTTCTCCTCACTTTGTGGCTGTCTTCTTTGCAGCCTGAGTGTACGTGGGAACCCCGTGCAGTCCCCCGTGCCCTGCGCCTTCACCAGCTCACTGGGCCCACCATGCGGCTAGCTGGTGGCCTGGCAGAGCCACCGGGGCTAATGGCTGGTGCGGGCTGCCCCCAGTGTCACTTCCGCCCAACACCTTAGGAAAACCTCCTGAGAGGAGGAACGCGGCTAGAGTTACCAGCCTCGTCTTTCTGGGAGCCTTTGGCTGTTGGAAGGGAACACTGTTTTCCATATCAGGGCTCAAACACTTACATTGCAAAACAGTTATGTTACTGCTTTTTAAATTCGTTTTCAGATGCCTTTTTGTTGTTGTTGTTAAGATGAGAGGTGGGATGGGGTTCAGCGGGAGCGTACATTTGCTTGGAGAAGATCGCTGGCTGGGAGCCACAGCGGCCTGGAAGAGTGTGAGGCATTAGAAGGTGCACCAGGCAGAAGAATCTCGACGAGCAATGCTTTTTATGTAGCTATCAGCAGGTCCCGTAATGGTTTTATAACTGTAAATGCTGTCTGTGCACTACTGAGTGGGAGTAATGAGCATTAGTTAAGAGAGGCAAATGAAAAAAAAAAAAAGTAAACCAAGACATTAAGTGCTTTTTTTGTCTCCTGGCTTTAAACAAGCCACTTTGCTGCAAACCAATGATCCTGCCTTTTTTTTTTTTTACTAGGTTAATAAAAACAAGAAGTGGCGTGAGCTGGCAACCAACCTAAATGTTGGCACTTCAAGCAGCGCAGCGAGCTCCCTGAAAAAGCAGTATATTCAGTACCTGTTCGCCTTCGAGTGCAAGATAGAGCGCGGGGAGGAGCCCCCGCCGGAAGTCTTCAGCACGGCAGACACCAAGAAGCAGCCCAAGCTCCAGCCGCCCTCTCCTGGTAAGTGCGGGTACTGCAGTTGGCGGCGGGGAAAGGCAGGGGGAGCCGCCGCCCCACGGGGCGCTGAGCACCACGAGCCCCTGCAGGCCCCCTCGGGGGTCCTGAGAAGGCCGCTGCTTAGGAAAGCAGACAGAACGCGGGATCTCTGAGGACAAGGGGTGTTTTGTATCGGAGCCCCCGTTGGCAGTGCTTAAGGGAAGAGGATACAGTTCGGGCCAACATTGCGAAGGCACCATTCTTCTGCTTTAGCTTACTTGGTCGAGAGACACTGGAATTCTGAGCTCTATGCCTCTATTCCTTCTACAGGTATTTAAAAACACTCCATCTAACTCCCCAGTAACCTGTGCAAACACTTTAGCGCTCCCAGAAGACGCCACCCTGCAGTGTAGCCACCAGCTCCTGCCACTTCTGCTTCTCTTGGGGACACTCAGAGCTGTGGGTCAGCAAAATGAAATGTGGACGCAGTTTTCAACGTCCCTGCCCAGCAAGTCCTCGCTTGTAGGGAATCCAGCGAACCTGGCATGGGAAAGGTCCACGCAGCCCTGTTTCTGAGACCCAGCAGTCAGTCAGCTCTGACCTAGAGGTCGGGAGTCTTAGGAACCCTACCTGGGAATAATGGCGGTTCACCTGCATTCTCAGCGAAACCAAACTAATGAAACCTGCCTTCTCTCCGGTCTCTCCACTCAGCCGTTGGAGACCCTGCCACGCTGTCAGCTCTCCCGCTAACCTGTGCTCTACCCGTTAGCGTTTCAGATTCCTGGATCGTTATATTCTGGGAAATACAGTATTCTTAGAGAGGAAGAAATCCACATCATCCCCAGTTCTGGGTGGTGACCTCACTCAAGTGAAATCCAGCTGTTTTCTCACCTGGCCCCATCCCAAGTGATGGTCAACACTTAGCCACGGTCCTACGTGCAAGACGGGACTGACCATTCCTGCCACTTCCCATCACACAGGCTTGTTCTGGGACCCAAGGCCAGCATTTCGTAGACTCTTAGAGTGTGCCAGGCACCTTCCCAAGTGCTCTACTATTTAATCGTTATATCAGCCCTGTGACACACATACTGTCCTAAAACCACGCAGGCCATGAGAAAACACACACATAAAATCCAAGTAACTGGCCCCAAATCTCATTGCTGGTGAGTGGTGTCCGGCTCGAGCATTATGCCTGGACCTACTGTAGTCCTCTGCCTGTATTTGAAATGGCACTGTAACAGGGACACCTTCTGCACATAGAAGGAGGTGTCTGTGAGCCAAAGAGCTGTTTTCTCCTTGTTTCCTCCAGCTCCTTTTCTGGAGGGCAACGCGAGTGTCTGCGGTCCCTAATCAAGAGGTCTCGCCTAAATACTTCGGAGGGCCGAGATGCACTTGTAGGGGATGCACCGAGGTATATATTTAGACCTGTCAGTTCTAAACACAATTAGAAATCCTACCTCACCCCACCCTTAAGCATCCGAAGACTTTGCAGTCACGGTATACCTTAAAAACTGGGAAATCTAATTTTAAAAGTCTCACAACATTACATTCAGTTCACAGAGTAAAACAAGCTGCCTGTGAACAGCCCTGAAACTATTTTTCCAAAATAAAAACTCAGTGGGGTGTAGGGACCAAAGTGGCGAGGTCTGCAAAGATGTAAAGGTATATTTTATTTGCCAGGAAAAACCCGTGTCACTGAATGGGCTGTACTTCTGTATGGAGAATAGCTCTCCCAGCGAGCATCAGCTTCAGTACAAGAAATCCCGCTGAGGCACAGACCCTTCAGAAAGTGTAGGGCCTGTTCTCTCAACAGTCAGCTCTTCCCTTTTTCCCTTTTTTTAAACTACCGTTTTTATGGCAACATTATCGTTTTAACTGCACAAAAGAGCTTGGGTTGCAGATGCACTTCTGACAATACATTCTTCTCAGTGGTCCACACGGTCCGAAGTCTTGGGGAACTGGAGGCAGGGAAGGGAGGGCGTCCTGTAGCGAGCTTCCCGGTCAGGGCACGGCCCAGGCGGCCTCACGCCGAGCACACGGGGCCGGTGGGTTTGCTTCTGTGTTCTCTGTGCTGCTCAAAACGCCCTGCTCAGCCGGACAGAAGGACACGCAGACCGGTCAGTGGGGTAGTGAGGAACATCAGCCCCGTAACCAAAAGCCAGGCTTCTCCAGAACTAGCATTAAGGAAAATGAAATATATTTATTGCCCAAGGAGGGAAAAAAAAAAAAATTATTCTGAACCGTTTGCCCTGTTGGGGTCTCCTACACTACAAAATTTTTAAAAACGAATTTTCAGCCAAACTTTGTGTTCTTAGAAGTCCGTTTTCCCCATCAGAAGGCAATTATGGTGTATGTCTTAGCAGCCCATCCAGGCAAACTAAATGAAAAGATTCCTAAGAAACATGCTGGGCAGCTTTTTAAACAGCCACTCTGAGGCAGCCTAAATCCCGGATCCCTTGGCCATATTAGCCTTGTGACTCACCCATCCGTCCTCCGGTTTTGATTTGGTGTGGCTGGTGTGGCTGGCGTGGGCTGAATGTCATTTCGCCAGCCTCTGGGCAGTAGAACCCCTGAGCCCTTGGGGGTGCGCCACGATCTTCACCGGTCGCTGGCTGGGTGGCGCCCCTCGCTGGAGTTCCGGGTTATGGTCTTGCAGGGACTGGAGCAAGTCCATGAGAGAATGTTCTCCAAACGAAAAGTGGGCAAGGCCCGGGGTATGGCTGCCTCTGAGAGGTGCCGTCGGGATCTCGTTATGATAAGCCTGTATAAGTTTGTGGCGTTCTAATGAACAGCTGCAGGAATCGCCTCCCCGAGTGGCCTGGGCCACCTGGAAGCTGGGGGGCAGTGGGGGGTGGGGGGCAAGGAAGCTCCGCATTCAATTAGTAAATCTGTAACCAAAAACCCATCCATCTTTGCCGGCAGGTGGCTGACTGCATTTCTATTATTAGCTGACAGGTGATGTCACAAAACCTGTCATGGAGCCAACTAGGGAATCCTCAGTGGAAGACAAATGAGAAAGGGTTCAGGTTATAAACAAAGGTGCCCTCTGGGTGACCTCCAGTCACAGTAGACAGGGACATATCAGCTGTCCTTCCTTCTGCCTGCCCTCCTTCCCGTAACCTCAGCCAGAACTAGGGCACCAGGTTCGTGCTGCGTAAATTATCTTCCCAGCTAGGAGTCTGGCTGTACAGTCTGAAGTGTGTGAATGTACTTAACCTTCAGTAACCTTTCCATTGTTTACTTTCGAGTATACATTTGTAGCTTCTGGCAAAAGGTAGGGAGATCCTACAGCGTTCACCAGCCTCATCTATTAATGGAGCTTCAAGAGGTTGCGTTCATTTTTTTTTTTTCCCTGAAAGGAAAAGACAAAACACTGGCAGAGGGAAGAATTTTTCCATTTTTTTTTTATTAGTTGTAAATGTGAATACTTGTAAATAAGGGTCATTCTGAAATCACAGCCTGTGAACCATGTTTCCAGGGAAGCCGTACGGTCTGCTGTGTGGAGTGTGGTCTGTGATTTAGGAAGCACGTTATTTCTCCTGCCAGCTCTCTGGGGCAGACACAGCTGTAGGATTATCCTTACACAGTTACAAAAGATGCCACTTTTTTCTTTTATTACAGTCTACTTATTTAATATGTATTTCCAGGGTTTCACCAAAATCTGATTTATAAGCAATGCTTTACTAAGCTTTTCTTTTGCCATAGCTACATTAAAAAGATTATGTACTTTTCAAGTCAGTCTTCCTGGCACCTCCCAGAGCTGCCCTGAGTCGCTGTGGCCCCGGGCACTCAGGGGACACCTTATACGGCCCTGGTGGCCAGTGCTCAGGATTCACTCCCAAGCAGGCCAGGCCTGGGGGCCTGATCTCACCAGAGACCTCCTGTTGTGCTGAGGCTTTCTGAGTGGAAGTGCTAGACTCATTTCCATCTCAGACTCCCTCCCAGCGCGCTCTGAAATCTTCAGTGATTTGTTGAACCCCATTTCCTCGACAGATGTGGCTGACGGTAATTGTAGTGGGTCTTGGACACCTCCTAGGAAAGGGACTCCAGATAATAGCATATACAGTATTGTCACTTACAGGCAGCCGGTGATCCTGCCATTCGTGACGGTTCTGAAAGCATTTATTATAAACTGCATGAGGGCAGGAATTTTTGTCTTTTTTGTCAGTTTGGGCCACTGGTGCATTCAAGAGTAGAAAAAACAATATAGTAAGCCATATAGAAGGCATGTTATTTATTCAATAAGTATTTCTTTAATTAACAAATGAAGGCAATGTCTACTGAGCACCTAACATGCAAAGGCGGCCGATAAAGCAGGAACCCTTAAAATACTATGTTTTCCAATGAAGTGAGTTTAAGTTTTGAAAAGATCTGCTCGGGGTGCCTGGGTGGCTCAGTCATTAGGCATCTGCCTTCGGCTCGGGTCGTGATCCCAGGGTCCTGGGATCAGGCCCCACATCGAGCTCCCTGCTCCGCGGGAAGCCTGCGTCTCCCTCTCCCACTCCCCCGGCTTGTGTTCCTGCTCTCGCTGTGTCTCTCTCTGTCAAATAAATAAATAAAATCTTTCAAAAAAAAAAAAAAGAAAAGAAAAGATCTGCTCAATTCTGAGCTCTGTTATGGTGTAATTATAGTTAAAGCTAAATCTCAGGACTCTGATAATGACATTAAAGAACTCCAAAGAGCATGACTTTGGTTTTGTAATAACAAATCTGATTCTATAGCTCTAAAAATGACTTTATTAATGACATAGGATAGACACATCCAGACATTGAGGAGGCATTGAAGTGACATAAGGCTCATTACTAATTTGTATCATTGCGTTTCAACTTAAACATTTCTCATTGCCTAAGATTTCTAATTTTTTCCCTAAAATAGCACAATAGTCCATCAAATCGGTATACCAAATTTTTCCTTACTCTCAGACATTTAGATTATCTCCATTATAAACAACACTGAAATAAACATTTTTCTGCCTAAAGCCTTCTTTTATATTAGATTATTTTCTTGAGGTAAATACCCAGGAAAGCAATTACCCAGTCAAGAGGTATAAATATGTTTTATGGCTCACAAATGAAGTATGTTGCCAAGTAGATTACTAAAAAAAAAAAAAAAAAAAAATTTACTAATTTTCACAATAAACAATGTAAGAGCAACTAATTTTACTACATCGTTACCAGTAATGGATATTGTCACTATTCTAATAAGATGGAGTCATGTTGTCGTTCCCTTTTTTTTTTTTTTTTTTGATGAGTAGGAGGAATGGGCTTACTCGATAACCTCTCGTTTTCTCCTTCTTTCCTTTTGGTACTACTACTGTCAGCCAACTCAGGATCCTTGCAAGGTCCACAGACCCCCCAGTCAACTGGCAGTAACTCGATGGCAGAGGTCCCAGGTGACCTGAAGCCCCCGACCCCAGCCTCCACCCCTCACGGACAGATGACCCCGATGCAAGGTGGAAGGTATGCAAAAGCGTCTCCATGAGCCCCACGACATCCGATTTATGGAGAAGTGGTGCTCTGTCACGAGTTTTTAAATGCTGATTACTACGTGTCATTTTTTGGGGGTGGTTTTCACATTAATTTTCAAGTTAGGCTTTTTTCTGACCAAGCGTTTGGTGGCAGCTGCTGCTACTTCATGGTGCTTTCCTTCTCATCTCTTCAGAAGCAGTACAGTCAGCGTGCACGACCCATTCTCAGACGCCAGTGATTCATCATTCCCGAAACGGAACTCCATGACCCCGAGCGCCCCCTACCAGCAGGGCATGAGCATGCCTGACGTGATGGGAAGGATGCCCTATGAACCTAACAAGGACCCCTTTGGTGGAATGAGAAAAGGTAAGTGCAGAGGGACCTCTGCCCAGGCTTGGTCCAGAGGACATTCTTCTCCCCGCCATCCCGCATCCAGTTCACTTACCCATTCGAGACATAGCTGAGTCCCAGCTCCTCAACCTACTCAATTTCTGGCCTTGGGGAAAGCCTCAGTTTCCTCATCTAGAAACTGGGGTAATAATAGGACCTGCCTAAAGGGTGTGATGAGGCTTAGTTGAGTTAGTGTACAAAAAGCCCACTGGAGAATGACTAACACGTGCATGCGCAAGCGTGCTCATGGCACTCCCTGGCCTCACAGGTGATGTCCTGTAGCACGGGCTGGGCAAGGGCTAGGTGCGGGGTGGTGTGTTGATAAATCAGACAGCGTTCCTCCTGGGGTTGACAGTGTCTTGGGACAAACAAAAAGTAAGTTAAACCACAAATATATAATTAAATATGGTGGTTGATGGAAGAAAGGACCTGATGGAAAAGAAACAAAAAGGAAGAAAGGACACAAAGTGCAGGGATATGGGTTGGGGGTCATGAAAGGGTGGTTGGGAGGGGAGGGCTTTGAGGAGATTTCAGTTATCTGTGGAGACCTGAGGAATGAGGAGTCAGTCAGAGAAGAGCAGGGAGTGGGGTGGGCTTGAGGCAGGAGAGGGGTTGGCATGTTTGAGGAGGTGGAAGGCGTCTGGGGCATAGTGAGCGGGGGGGTGGGGGGCAGGGCAAGTGCACGGAAGCCATCGGGACCACTGGGGCCAGAACCTTTCAGCCTTCATGGGCGTGTGGATGAGTTTGGACCCTAGCTGAAAGATGTTCTGCAGGAAGTGACACGGCTAGGTTTTTGTTAAAAAATAAAAAACTGGTGGGGCACCCGGGTGGCTCAGCCAGTTAAGCGTCTGCCTTCAGCTCAGGTCATTATCTCAGGGTCCCGGGATCAAGCCCCGCATGGGGCTCTCTGCTCAGCGGGGAGCCTGCTTCTCCCTCTGCCCACCACCCAGCCCATCATGCTCTCTCTAGCTCTCTCTCTTTCAAATAAATAAAATCGTATCAATAAATAAGTAAGTGGCAACTGTGGCAGATGTGTTAGAAGGACCCCTGTGAGAGCCCAGGAGAGAAATGACAGGGTGGAGTCAGATTCCAGCAGCGAAGAGAGAGAGGTGGACGTGCTCGCTACACGCTGTGGTTGGTGGAAGAACAGGCCGCACAGCCGGAGTGAACGTGGGGGTCATGGGACGAGCCAAGTGATAGAGACCAAGAGGGTGACGTTACTGCCTTGGAGATGCACGACCGGGAAGTAGAGGCTCACTGTTCGAGCCTGCACTGGGGACAGGAGGGAGAGGAAGGAGAGGGGGAAAGCCCAAGTGATTGAGGCGGTGGGTGGTGGTTGAGGCGGTGGGTGGCGGTTGAGGCGGTGGGTGGTGGTTGAGGCGGTGGGTGGTGGTTGAGGCGGTGGGTGGTGGTTGAGGCGGTGGGTGGTGATTGAGGTGGTAGGTGGTGGAGCGTGTCTGTCTGAAGCCAGGCAGAGCGTTGGAATTAGGAATCATTTTAGAGAACTAAGCAGAGAAGTGGGATGGAGAACTGTGGGGTGGATGGGATCGCCGAGTACGTGGGAGAGTTCTGACTGACGTTAGCAAACACCCAGCAGAGTGTTTCCCTTTATGCTGCTCAGTCCCCAGCGTTCTCTTGGCACTGAGAACGTAGCATCTAAGCCTCTGCCCTTTGAGCGCCTCCCGAGGCACACACACTCCAGTGATTGGCACTCTTCCAAATGCAGCCAGGCTGTGAAATTGAGGCATGATGTGAATATCATTGAAAAAAATACCAAAATGTAGTGAATACTATTTTTATGGCAGTACTTCTTCTGGCATCCCTTAAACAATAGTACTTCTGTTCGATTTAGATATTCAGGGTATGCGAATTTCTTGATATCTTGTCTTAAGTGGAGAGAAACATAAAGCCCAAAGCCGTGATTTTCACAACTATTATGGGCCAATGAAAAATAAAAATGAATAATTTCAAAATTTTAAGTATTAGGCATGTATCATTTAATTAACAAACGAGATTATGTTTAATATCTATTTCTTATGTAACATTTCAGATATCTGTTATACCAAGTAAGAGAATCTATAATTTTTCCTTTCAAAACATGTCAGAGTTGCCTGTTCCAAGTAAATATTCTGCAGAACATGCAATAAATCCATAAGCTCAGAAATTCACAAGCCTTGTAAGTGTTGGAGGTAGCTATTTTTCTTCGTGGTATGAGATAGTAGAAAGAACATTTTGTTAGTGCTGATGATGGTTGTATCACATTTTTAGACTCTGAAAATTTGACAGTAACATGGGAAAAATAATTAGTAGTGTTTGGAATCCGGCTTCAAAAGTTAGGTGAACCATTCCAATATCCTACCTATATGCTATATTGGACAGAGAGGGTTACATTGCTTTTGTTTCTGTATGCCTACAGTTTTTCTTATTATGAAAATAAATGGGGGGGTGATTGTGGATCACCTTGTTAGGCACTAGCTAGCTATATAATGTGTTTGCATCAACCGTGTAAATGATACAGTGGCTCAGAGGGAAGGCCCTTCTCACGTTTCCCTGGGATATTTCAGCTCACCTGCTACCTCATAGTGCTGGTGTATTTAGCACCAAATTAAAGCAGATAAACAGAAAACAGATTTTTGTATAGCCCTGTCCCTGTTCTAATAAAGGTTTACCTTCCTCGGTTCGCATTATTCTGTGAGTGAACTTGGTGGTGCTCTGATTCGTGTAACGACCAGCATCGGGGCAGCCGTGCTTTGTTGCTCCTCCTGGACTGCAGTGCGGTGATGGGGCCCATGCCAGAGCCTGTCTGAGCCTCAGTGGCCAGAGTAGCCTCGGCCCCAGCCACCTGCCTGCCCCACCAGCTTCCTTGAATGCATTACTGACTGACCGGCCGATTACTTGCTTACAAGTGAACAAGTGAATATCTATATATTGTCTATCTAAACAGTATATTTTAAATATCCATTAGTATCTTTACACATAATCCTATTTTTTTTATTTTGAGAGGGAGAGGAAAGGGGGGAGGAGTTGGGGGAGGGGGAGAGAGAGCATCTCAAGCAGGCTTCCACGCCCAGCACAGAGCCCGACTCCGAGCTCAATCCCATGACCCTGAGATCATGACCTGAGCCGAAACCAAGAGTCAGACGCTTAACCGACTGAGCCACCCAGGCGCCCCTGCATCATTTTTTATAACAGCAAAATATTATGAAACAACCCTTTCAGTACTAGAGCATTAAAAAGAAAAGGCAGGGGCGCCTGGGTGGCTCAGTCGGTTAAGCGTCTGACTTCGGCTCAGGTCATGACTGAGTCCCGCGTTGGGCTCCCCGCTCAGTGGGGAGTCTGCTTCTTCCTCTGGCCCTCCCCCGTGCTTGTGCTCTCTCTGTCTCTCTCTCAAATAAAGAAAAAGTAGGTGGGGGACCCTCAGTGGCTTAGTCGGTTAAGCGTCTGCCTTCGGCTCAGGTCATGATCCCAGGGTCCTGGGATCGAGCCCCGCATCGGGCTCCCTGCTCAGCGGGAAGCCTGCTTCTCCCTCTCCCACTCCCCCTGCTTGTGTTCCCTCTCTCTCTGTCTCCCTCTCTGTCAAATAAATAAATAAAATCTTTAAAAAAAAAATGATGATGCAGTGATTATCGATTGATGTAGCTGTTTTTTTTCACAGCTGTAATTGTGTTTCTATGAAATAGATTCCTAAAAGAATAACTGAATCAAGGGATCTGAACTTTTCTTTTAGTTTACTGAGTGCCTTTTACTACATTAACAAACTACCACCCGAAGTGGCTTTCGACACCAACGTTTGGTTGCATCTCACAGTTCTCTGGTGGGCGGGGTGGTTCTTCGTTGCATGCGTTGTTGTTAGCTTGGGACATGAGGCACCTGCTGTCATCAGGGAGCCTGATTGGGAACTCTGCTGGAGCTGGGATGTCCCTTGAAGGGTTGGTGTCATCCGGAGGCTCTGTTGGGAACTCATCGGGGGCTGTCGCTTGGGGGCCTCCTCCAGGGGCCGTCCCATGGAACTTCCCGGGTGCCTCATGACATGGTGGATGGGTTACCAGAAGGAACACTTGAAGAGGACGCCCCAGTTGCCAGCACATACAGCCCTCTGCGGCATCGCATTTGCCGGTGCCCCATAGGTCAACGCTGGTCACGTGACCACGCCAAAACTCACTGTGGGAGCGGACTTCATAGGCTGTAAATACCCTTGGGGGTCATCAAGATATAGCCCTCCCGTAACAGGTATTGACAACAGTTAGACCAGTGTAGTACTCTTCACATGAGCATGTCACAGTGTGTGGACCCTCACTCCCCGACCGGGAATGATCGGCCCTTTTAATATGTGCCCATCGGAATTGAGGGGGGAGGTCTCTTAATTGTTTTAACTTGGATTTCTTTAATTATTAGTGAAGTCACACATCTTTTCATATATTGATTAGCCACTTTTCTTTTTCTCTGAATGTCCATTTATTTGCCCATTTTTTTAATCTGATGGTCTTTTTTTCTTACTGGCTTTTAAAGAATTTTTTGTGTATCAAAGAATTAAGCTATTTAACTTTAAATATCCCCCTTAATGTCTGTCTGCCTCTGTTTTTACATTTATAAAATGGAAAGTAACACCAGAACTTAATCTGCCGCATGTTGACTTGAGCTTGAATAAAATAAAGTATGGGAAAGCTCAGTGCATCCCACCAGTGCTAGACTTCATTATCTGCACTTTTCTTCCAGCCCAACAAATTCTATCAGCTCACCCAAGTCTAATCAGCTTTTGCTTCGTGTAACATAAAAGTAACCTTCCTAGGATGAAGAAAGGTAGTAGTACTGTATATCAATTAAGATTTGCATTAAAATGTTTAATTTGCCTACAGGCTAGTTTCTGGGCTTGACCCAATTTCCTTCAGGCTCTGAGCTGATGCTAATTTGCATATTTGACCTAATTGCCACTCTACGCCCTGATAGAAATACTTGTATTTCATCCATTCTTGAGTTACTCTTAATTCCCTAGTGGGTTTCTTTATCCTGATTTTGCAGTGGGTCAGTAGATGGGTATTCATGTTAAGTTTTCTTAAAAACTTTTTTTCCCTAGAACGGAAGGCAACTAGCTTTATTCATACAGTTGACCCTTGAAAAACATGGGTTTAAAATGCCACTTATACACAGATTTTTTTTCAATAAATAGAAGTACAGTACTATAAGTGTACTTTCTCTTACGATTTTCTTAACATTTTCTTTAGCTTTACTGTAAGAATACTGTATGTGATACATGTAATGTATAAAATATGTAGGGTTTTTTTTAAGATTTTATTTATTTATTTGAGAGAGAGCACAAGCAGGGAGAGGGAGAAGCAGGCTTTCTGCTGAGCAGGGAGCCCGATGTGGGACTCGATCCCAGGACCCTGGGACCACGACCCGAGCCTAAGGCAGACGCTTAACTGACAAGCCACCCAGATGCCCCTTTATTGTGTTATTTGTGTTCATTATCAGTAAGGCTTCTGGGCAACAGTCGCCTATGAGTAGTTAGGTTTTGGGGGAGTCCAAAGTTACACGTGGATTTTCACCTTCGAGGGGGTCAGCACCCCTAACCCCTGTGTGAAGGGCCACCTATACGTGCATTTCATCTCTTCCTCACACCCACTGCAGGAAGTTACATCTGTGAAATCCCTTTAGCCATATAATGTATATAATCATGGGAGCAACATCCCCACCATGTTGGTGGGTTCTGCTCATCCTCAAGGGGGGCGCTCCCATGAGGCTGTACATGGGGTAAGGGATAGGGGTCTTGGGGTCCATCTTGACTCCAGACTTTATACTCTTTGGCTTGTTTTGTTGTCAGCCATACTAAGAATAAGATAAATGTCTGCCATATTAAGGATAACAGGAACGACTGGAAAGGGCTGTTTGGGCCCCTTGGCTTTTGCAAATGCCTCATTTTCTCTCTGTCCTTTAAAATGTTGCAGTGCCTGGAAGTAGTGAGCCCTTTATGACTCAAGGACAGATGCCCACAAGCAGTATGCAGGACATATATAACCAGAGTCCCTCTGCAGCGATGTCCGGTCTGGGCATGGGGCAGCGGCAGCAGTTTCCCTACGGAGCCAGCTACGATCGAAGGTGAGCGTTTCCTAAGAGGACCATGAGGTTTACTAGAACCTCTCCTCGCACACGCATTTCCGAGCCTGGTAGCTGCTGACAGCACACAGTACCTGCTCTCCTGCTGGACTTAGTAAGGGTGGGGTCGGGGGCCTGCCTCCAGCTGACGACCACAGCAGGACCGGGGAGAAGGGAGGACTCCTGAGAGCTGGAGGCCCCGAGCCGCGGTGGCCCTGCCAGCACCGGGATGCCCCCCGACACAGCCACTGTCCCCACACCAGCTTCCTCGCGCAGCCCCACCCAACCCCCTTCCCGCCGGCGTCTCTTCCTTAGGGAAGTGGCCGCACACCGGGGGCCGCGCTGGGCTTCCCGCAGCCCCGGGTGACAGGGAGCTCTGGGAAAGTCTTCCCTCCCGGCGTTGGTTCTTTAGGTCTTTCCGTTCTTCCCTGCGAACGTCTTCAGCAGAGAGAATGCTTTGCTCCTTGAATAACATCTCTGAGGAAGGCCATGGCAGTCTTGTTTCCAGATGCTTCTTCTCAGGATGGCATCTGGACATCGAATAGCAAGTTGGGTTTCAGTGCTCGTGCAGATTATTTTTACTGAGGCGGAAGGACAGTCCTTGAAATATCTCGTAGAGGTTAACAGAAAACCGGCTCACGGTAGACCTCTTTCTGTGAAGAAGGCCCCTTACTTACCCCTGCCGCCGACTTAAATACAGACCCTGAAAGCACCTTCCCCTGGCTGGTATGTTCTTTGCCTCCTTAATACAGAAGTGCTCAGAAACGAAGTCTTTAATGTAATATCTGTGATTTTTAAAGAAAATGGAGGCACATTAGAAGGCTCTGGTTCTAACTGTAGCCACAGCCCCAGGCTCGGGGTAGGGACGGCCTCAGCTCCGTTCCTTCAGGAGCCGGTGTGGTGATGGTCCTCAGAGACTCCCTCCGTCACTGCTGCTCCCACAGACCACGTGCTGGCTGTGGACAGGGGCGAATGGTGGCAGTCGTGAGGAGGTTTCCGCTGGTGTGACACAAAGGGGAAGAAAGTTTGAAAGTCACTGTTTTATTACCAAAGAAGCTTGCTTTCTGGCATTTTTCCATGCACCTGCTTCTTCAGACACAGAGCCATCACAAGCTTAAAGTGTTTTGGTTCTTTCTAGACTTAAGAATCTAGATTTCTCATTCTTACCCTGGCTGTGGTGTGGTGAACGTTTATTAGTGATGTCTGCACGAATCAGTTGACCATCATGTTTAGTGTACTGGATCAGGGATTTTATTTTGATTTGGTTTTGAGGGTCCAGAAGAAGCTTTCTTTTTTTCTTTTTTTTTTGCTGATGAGCTTGGAAGAACACTTCTCCTGGAACATATATTCTTAAAGGAGCCCAGGGAAGTGTACTGTTCTGTTTCTCCTAGAAGACTTTCTAGAACCAGTTTAAGTCATTTTTGGCTCTACCACGTTAGGGTTTACCTTCTTATGCTTCCTGAAGAGTGTTACTTGTTTAGCTTAAATTTTACCTGCATCAGTTATATTTCTTTCCTCCTAACGTAAGCTTCCTTCTAGCTATTAATGCCCTTAGCACACGCTTCCTCTGTATCTGTTTTACCTGTGATGTTCTCAAAATCCATTTGTTTTCTTAGTCTCATTCCTTGACCAGTTTAGGAATATATTCCGTGCATGTACCCTCTTTCTTACAGGATTCAATCAGAATACTAACAACACCAGTGTATCCCTTTAAAAAACTTCAAATCTATTGCTCCTTTACACATGCTATTTTTATGGTATTTATAGCTTCTCAATGTAATGGGAGTTGAAAAATAAATGTTATGCATTCCCATTTTCAGATTTAATAGGAGCACATTTAAATCAGCCCTGTCACTCTTTTAAGTCCCCTCTGTTATTCTTTTCTGTGGCCTTTTAGGGTCATGGAGCTTCAAAATTTTGAGTAGTTATATTTTTACAATTAGTAGCTAACTCAGTATCATTTGGATTAATTGTGGAGTATACTTTTAAAAAATTGAACATTTTGTATTCATAATGAGAAAATAAGTAGAGACATTTTCCATGATTATAGGTCTATGCTCTGGTACTCCTGGAAGTCCTGCTTTGATTCTTAGATTGTTTTTCTTGTCTCTGGCTCTCGTTAATACCTCCCGTCATGGTGTTGCATGACGCTCGCTGCCCAGGTCCGCGTCGGTGGGTGGGGCGGAGACTCTGCTCAGAGGTACAGGGGTGCCAACCTATCTGGCCGGGGCTCCTTGCACACCTTCCAACCAGGAGATTGGCAGCATTCCCAAAATGGGCGTTGCCATCCCTGTGGCTAAAAGTTAAAGTGTTGTTTCTGCTCGGCGTGCCTCTGTTGGAAGGTGTGTGCAGTGAAGGAAAGACAAGACCACTAAGGGGTGCGCGATTTCCAGAAATGAACTGTTGGTTTCTCTCTTGGTCTGAGGTCCTTTGACAATGAAGTGTTCTTTGAATGCCTTATTCTAGGCATGAACCTTACGGGCAGCAGTACCCAGGCCAAGGCCCTCCCTCAGGACAGCCGCCATATGGAGGACACCAGCCCGGCCTGTATCCACAGCAGCCGGTGAGTTGGCAAGCGGGCATGCATCTCTGAGCTTTCTGTTTAAAACCCCAACTTGTGTTACTTCTGAAGAGTTTTAGGAAGTATAAGAAAAATGAGTAGCATTTATCGAACAATCAGGATCCGTTTGCTTATGCTAGAAAATATTATTAAGATTTTGAAGTCAGCAAATTTTTAAAAAGCTCTGGATAGATGGTATCCTGAAACAAAGGTCACATGTTGTAGGAAGTAAAGGACGTTCAGCCTTGTCAAGAAGAATCGGCCCAAGTAAAGAGTATTTTAAATATGTGTCTGTTGTGTGTATTGTCCTATCAAATGCCTTTTTTTTTAAGATTTTATTTATTCATTTGAGACACAGAGATACAGAGATACAGAGAGTGAGAGAGAGAGAGAGAGAGAGAGAGAGAGAGAGTGAGCATGAGCAGGGAGAGAGGCAGAGGGAGAGGGAGAAGCAGGAGCCCGATGTGAGGCTCGATCCCAGGACCCTGGGATCATGACCTGAGCCGAAGGCAGACGCTTAACCATCTGAGCCACACAGGGGCCCCAAATGCCATTTTAGAAGAGAAATTTGTTGATGTTTTAAAGATGTGTAGATAAAAATAACTTAAAATATTAAATACCAAGAATGAAAGTTAATTGGCTTTTTAAAACTGAGATATTAATGACCACGTATTTTGCCCACATAGGATGGGTGGATGCTGGTTGATGCAACCATAGATCCTGAATTGTGTAAGATAACCTTGCAGTAGCCACTACTGCTGCAGAGAATTGCACGTCATGCTGTGGCTGTTCAGACACAGGAATTTCCTATTTCTTTCTTTATTTTTGTTCTTAAATGTTTTATTTATTTGAGAGAGAGAGTGCACACACGTGCGAGCGGGGCTGTGGGGGGTGGGGCAAAGGGAGAAGGAGAAGGAGGAAGCAGACTCCCCTCTGAGTGGGGAGCCCGATGCGGGGCTCGATCCCACAATCCCGAGATCACGACCCAAGCCAAAACCAAAGAGTCAGACGCTCAACCAACTGAGCCACCCAGGCGCCCCAAGAATTTGCTATTTCTTTTTTTTTTTTTTAAAGATTTTATGTATTTGAGAGAGAGAGAATGAGAGACAGAGAGCACAAGAGGGAAGAGGGTCAGAGGGAGAAGCAGACTCCCCGCCGAGCAGGGAGCCCGATGTGGGTCTCGATCCCAACACTCCAGGATCATGACCTGAGCCGAAGGCAGTCGCTTAGCCAACTGAGCCACCCAGGCGCCCAAGAATTTGCTATTTCTAAACAACTTTTCAGGTGTAAGACCTCTGGTAGCATAGAGGGAGTTTTAAACATTTAATTTTACTGGAGCGTCTGTGTGCAGTAAATTGTATTATTAAACCAGCTGATCTTAAGCAATTTCCAAATAAGGTGAAAGAACACTAATGATCACATCAGCATCTTTCTCACATCAGGAGGATCCCACCCTGGTCGAGTGCTGGTACCCGGGGTGTCCCCAGGAGGGGAGCCTAATACACAGGCAACACGGGCCCTGCTCTCAGAGGCTGGGGCCTGCAGGGCTTTCGGGGGAGGCTCTGAGCTGCACTGAAGTCGGGGTGGGGGCCAGAGACCGTAGAGTGTTGGGGCAGCAGGTCCAGTCTAAGGAGCCGGATGCTATGTGGAGACTTTCCTGTAAAGATAGGCCTAAGGAATCTCTTGACTCCAGGAACCTCGCAGGCTGGCCCTCGGGAAGCTCAGTCCGTGCCAGTGCGAGCCCTCTTCCTCCCTACTGAGGCCATCTTCATGTTACCCCAGACCCCCGTCGGGCGGTGCCCGTGTGGGGGTCACCAGAGCTGTGCCCCTGGATTGCAGCCCTGGGAAATACCAAGGGAGGAGATAACCAGGAAAAAGAGAGAGGAAGCCTTTCTTTCCCCACAGAAAATGCCAAGCACATGCAGACAGACTTCGGAAACCCTCTTCGGAGTGTGACGCGGCGTTGTATAATCCCGAAATAGAGGGCATCAATTGTTAGTCCTTAGTTGTTATAGGAGCTTCCCATATTCATTTTGAAATGAACATTCTACCAGGTAATAACTGTTCTGCATAATTTAAGTGTGTGATTATACCTGTAAAAGCACATCAGTATGATTTGTCTTGATATGAATTTCAGAATTACAAACGCCATATGGACGGCATGTACGGGCCTCCAGCCAAACGCCACGAGGGAGACATGTACAACATGCAGTATGGCAACCAGCAGCAAGAGATGTACAACCAGTATGGGAGCTCTTACTCCGGACCAGACAGGAGGCCCATCCAGGGACAGTATCCATACCCCTACAACAGAGAGCGGATGCAGGGCCCGGGGCAGATACAGCCGCATGGGATCCCGCCTCAGATGATGGGCGGCCCGATGCAGTCGTCCTCCAGCGAAGGGCCTCAGCAGAGCATGTGGGCGGCTCGCAACGATATGCCTTACCCCTACCAGAACAGGCAAGGCCCAGGCGGCCCCGCCCAGGCACCTCCTTATCCAGGCATGAACCGCACGGATGACATGATGGTACCTGATCAAAGGATCAATCACGAGAGCCAGTGGCCTTCTCACGTTAGCCAACGTCAGCCTTATATGTCCTCTCCCGCCTCCATGCAGCCCATCACGCGCCCGCCTCAGTCATCCTACCAGACGCCACCGTCGCTGCCAAATCACATCTCCAGAGCCCCCAGCCCTGCCTCCTTCCAGCGCTCCCTGGAGAGCCGCATGTCTCCAAGCAAGTCTCCCTTTCTGCCCTCCCTGAAGATGCAGAAGGTCCTGCCCACCGTCCCCACTGCCCAGGTCACGGGGCCACCCCCCCAGCCACCCCCCATCAGAAGGGAGATTACCTTTCCTCCTGGCTCCATCGAGGCCTCACAGCCAGTCTTGAAACAAAGGCGAAAGATTACCTCAAAAGATATTGGTAAGCATTGCGGGCCTTGGCCTGAAATGAATCCCAGTTGTGATCGAGAATTCTAATTTTAGTTTAGATTTAGCTCCTGTTAATCTCCAAGGGATGAAATTCTTAGGACGGCAAACCATCAAGACATGTTTTTGTACGGGAGCGGTAGCTGAAAACTGCTGATCTGAGTTAAGAAACAGTGCTAGAGAGGAGCGTGAGTTAAAATGGTATTTTTACACAAGAGTGTTATTTGTGTGAGGGAGTAGAGCTCCAAGTGAGAGACCAGGGGATCCTCAGTGACCATGTTTTCTACTACAGTTTGAGCTGTAAGATTGGGCCGTAACCAAGCACTTGATTTCCATAGCGGTGAGTCTCACGGCTGAGAGGCTAATGAAATGCTCGGGTGGCCTGAGAAATTTTGAAGGCGAGCCACTCTAATTTGGGGAACCCCAGACAGACAGTGAGCTTCCCTGGGAAAAAGTAGAAGCCTGCGTGTAATATGTAGATAAATGTATATAGTACGATACACAGAATTTGATATGATGTGATGTGTAGGTACACTGGTAGATATGGGCCAAGGAATGATTTCAGTTGGATGCCGAGGTTGTTTGCTCATTCTCTTTGGGATGTTCTGAATACTAATCCCAGATCTGGAATATCTAGGAGTACACACCGGTTTTGTGCATTATTTTTGAAGTACTTTTAATATAGCAAAGGAAATTATAGACCTTGGTTATATAAGAAGCAGTTTTTTCAAAAACCTCAAAATCACTTGACTTGAGATCATTTACTACAGTGACTAGAAAATCAAAGATACTAAAGACTTTTTTCAACCACTGGAATTAAGGGCATACTCAGGCAGAGCAGGGGAGAGAAGTAAGGACTTAGAGAGAGGCGTGCTGGAGATGAGAAGGAGATATAGACAGACACTGAGCACCGTTTTATATGTGGAAATATATATGTAAAAATATGCACATGTGTTTGTGTGCTTATGTATGTATGTGTGCATATGTTTGAATAAATAAATGTATTTAAATTTTTTATAAAATCTCTCTGTGCATCTTAGATCAGCATTTGTCGTCAGCCTGGGGAAATTTATGTTCCTTATTTGAAAAAGAAAGTTTGCTTTTTCTGTTACCAAAGTATCGTATGCCTCTTAGAAAATACGGAAAGTAGATGAAATTACAATAGAGGTGGAAACCCACGCCCCCCCTCCAGCACGTGCGATTGCTGCTGGTGTGTGGTGCTGGCTCTTTCTCTGCTGAGTTCTGATGGCTCGGGCCCACTCCCACCTTGTGCTTCCGCCGGTTTCCTGAGACAGAAATCTCAAACATACGAGGGGCCTCTTCTCCTAGCCCCATCTTATGGGACTTGTAATCTTGCAAATGTTTTATCTAATCCTTGTGTCTTCTTCAGTAGCGGGAAGGGGGAAAAGAAAAGTGCAGCCCTTCTGTTTCCCATCCCAGGCTCAGACCAAGCTGTTGAAAAATCTGAACCTTCAAAGTGCTAATAATTGTCAACAGCATGTTCTGAAGGCAGGAGCTCAGACAGAAGAGGACAGCAAGGGAATATCAAGACTGTCTACCCCAGAATGCGCTGTGTGGGAATTACATTTTGCCTGTATTCTGCCACCTGAGACATTTGTGAATGGAGTGGGCAAAAGAAGACAAATACCATTTTTTGGTGTGACTCAATTACTAACACTCTGCTGCATCATTACAGAGTCTGTTAGGGGCTAAAGGAAACCAATCAGTGCTGAGAAAGGGCCCTTGTGCTCAGCCACCACCACCTCGAGAAGCACTTTTGGCTCATGTTTAACCAACGAAGCCAAAGGATCTTAAATAACCAAAGTTTCTTAGGAAGCTGTCCCCTCCATTTAGAATCTGGAAATGATCACGTTTAGCCATGCCTCAGGACATTTGTTTGAAATCAGTATTTAACTCAACACTCGACTTCTTTTTTCTTATTCTTTTGTTATCTCCTGCCCTTTCGTGCACAGAGTTAATATGAATTATACCCTTCTTCTTTCCCCCGGTTTTAGTTACTCCTGAGGCCTGGCGTGTGATGATGTCCCTTAAGTCAGGTCTTCTGGCTGAAAGTACTTGGGCTCTGGACACTATTAACATTCTCCTGTATGATGACAGCACTGTCGCTACGTTCAGTCTCTCCCAGGTAAGCCGGCACCCGTCCAGCCAAGCGCCCAGGTAGCAGAAGAAAGCTCGGGAGTGCACAGCGCGTGAGCGAATGTGGGGGGTGATCCGCATCCCCACCGGATGCGGCCGTCCTTGTGGTTGTTACAGACGTAGCGCTGTCTGAGAATTTAGTCGGGAGTAATAACTCATTTCAGGCTCTAGTATAAACACACACGTACTTCTGTTTCCCACGAGAAAATACACACGCGCGCGTGTGTGTGGGGGGGGGCAGGGGCTAGATAGTAAAAGTAGGTTGTTGTTTAGAATGAATGTCAGCAGCCGGCGGGAGGTGATCGAAATGTCACGTGAGGCTGGGACCGTAGTCAGCGTTGGGTATGCAGGAGCTTGCGATGGGACATACCCTACTTTCCAGGGAGACCGAACCTCTTTCTTTTAATTAGAAAGAAATGTTGTGTTATAGAAAGTGTACACTAGAGAGAACAGTTTAATGAACCGCCGTATCCCCATCATTCGGCTGAGACGGTTATGAACTCATGGCCAGACTTGTTTCCTGGTCTGTTTCCTTCATTGCTGCCTCTCTCCACCTTATTTTGAGGCAGTCATTGAAAAGCCTGCTACTTTTAATAAGCTTAAAGCGCTCTGCTTTGTTCGACAGTAGACTTAAAGTAGCTTCCAGGGTAATTGCTAGAGGAGAGAAGGGGGGCAGAGGGCTAGGGAAAATTCCCCGGGAGTCAACTGAGCTGCAAACTTTTACAGAAATAGTTAGAAACAAAAATGAGGAGAGGTAATTCTCCCTACTGTGTATGAACAGTTCTCTGCTTTGGGTGAAAAAAGCCAAAACATCCAATTACCTTGCTTCTGTTGAAATCAGACCAGAATCTTCCACTTTGTCTTTCTTCTCACATGTAAGTCCTCATTATAGCCCTGAAAGGCAATTTTTCACTGGATGGGAAGTGTATTAATAAGGTTATAAACATCGCATGAAGCCCCTTGTAACAGAAAATACTAAAAAATGTGTCCTGGCTTTGCTAGAATAATTACCTTCCATCCTTATGTGAGCAGAATGAACGACTGTTGCTCACACCATTTTCATAACCAGAATCGCTTTAGTAACTTGCCCCTATCCCCTGCCCTGGGAAAAAAAGTCAACTTTAAGTGGGGGAACAAACACCCAAACCTTCACATGAAAAAGTGTGCGTTCATCCCCTAAAAGGAGTCCTCTGTGGTCAGTCCTTGAGTGGCCCCTTACTGCTTAGTAATCGTTCCAAACCCACTTTCAGGAAACTGATAGCAGGATATGAAAGCATGATTGATTTCCAAAACACCTGTCATTAAAGAATCCTTCTGTACTTCCTTATCCTCCTTCATTGTCCCTGCATGTTGGAGGCGGTGGGCGTAGGGGAGGGGCTCTGGGCAGTTGCTGATCACGGAGTGTGTTGGCCTTCTCGATGCAAACGTTTGCTGAAAGGAAACGAAAAGTGGCTTTTGTCTTTCAGCTGGAGTTGTGTTAGCTGAAATGTAAAAGTGCATTCTATGAGGCATTCTAATTCATTTATCAGGGACTAAATTGATTTGTTTTTAATTTTCTGTGTTTATGAGCTACTCCATTGCTGAAATTATCTTTTCCCCAAGATATACGGGGAGTGTAAATTAGGGTAACCTATGGCACCTGAGACGAAAATAACCATAAAATTCTAAGAATAATAACCGTAAAAATCCAGGCAAGCAAGTCTCAGATGAATAGCAGAAGAGAACAGACTCACTTTGGGTGAATGAGTCTATAAAATCCACGCTCCCGCTCTTCTCATATGGAGTGCATTGTACCTGAGGCAGAAGAAAAGGCAAAGAACTTGGTAATATTCAAGAGAAGAAAATGACAGGGAAGTTTTCATGTTTATGGAGTAGGAAAGTCAGCGGCAAGTGGAAAACATGGTACACGTTGGTTTAGTTAACAATGTAAACTTCAGGAAGCCGGTTCTGGTGGGTATATGGTTTCTCTCTCTGGGCTTAGCCAAGAAGGAATTACAACCTGTGACAGTCATCATCCTGAACCTGTATTGGTAGCTGTCAGGTTGTTGCCCTTCCCCACCGACCTGAGGTTATGACGCTGTGCCCGTTCTTGTTCTTGTCTCCCTCTCTAGTTGTCCGGATTTCTCGAACTTTTAGTAGAGTACTTTAGAAAATGCCTAATTGACATTTTTGGGATTCTTACGGAGTACGAGGTGGGAGACCCCGGCCAGAAGGCACTCGATCGCCGTGCGGTGAGGAGAGGTGACAGGCAGCCGTTGGCCGGCGACTCGGGGAAGGAGGAGGAGGACGCTGAGTGTGTTGACGACGAGGACGACGACGAGGGCGACGAGGGCGACGAGGGCGACGAGGGCGAGGACGGCGGGAAGACGGAGGTGGAGGAGAAGGGCGGCGCGGCTCCGGCCTCTCCCGACGCCGCCGCGGACCCCAAGGAGACGCCCAGGCAAGCGAGTAAGTTCGACAAGCTGCCGATCAAGATAGTCAAGAAGAACAACCTGTTCGTGGTGGACCGGTCTGGCAGGCTGGGTCGCGTCCAGGAGTTCGACAGTGGGCTTCTGCACTGGCAGCTCGGCGGGGGGGACACCACCGAGCACATCCAGACTCACTTCGAGAGCAAGATGGAGATCCCTCCTCGGAGGCGCCCACCTCCCCCGCTTAGCGCCACGGGTAGGAAGACAGAGCAGGAAGGCAAGGGCGAGGCTGACGAGCAGCAAGAGAAGAGCATCATCGCGACCATTGACGACGTCCTGTCTGCACGGCCAGGGGCGCTGCCGGAAGACGCAAACCCTGGCACCCAAGCCGAAAGCAGTAAGTTTCCCTTCGGGATCCATCAAGCCAAAGGTCACCGGAACATCAGGCTGCTGGAGGACGAGCCGAGGAGCCGAGACGAGACTCCCCTGTGCACCATCGCGCACTGGCAGGACTCTCTGGCTAAGCGCTGCATCTGTGTGTCCAACATCGTCCGTAGCTTGTCCTTTGTGCCTGGTAACGACGCGGAGATGTCCAAACACCCAGGCTTGGTGCTGATCCTGGGGAAGCTGATTCTGCTTCACCACGAGCATCCAGAGAGGAAACGAGCGCCGCAGACGTACGAGAAGGAAGAAGACGAGGACAAAGGGGTGGCCTGCAGCAAGGACGAGTGGTGGTGGGACTGCCTGGAGGTCTTGCGGGATAACACGCTGGTCACGTTGGCCAACATTTCTGGGCAGCTAGACTTGTCTGCTTACACAGAAAGCATCTGCTTGCCGATCTTGGATGGCTTGCTGCACTGGATGGTGTGCCCATCTGCAGAGGCACAAGACCCCTTCCCCACTGTGGGACCCAACTCCGTCCTGTCGCCTCAGAGACTCGTGCTGGAGACCCTCTGCAAACTCAGCATCCAGGACAATAACGTGGACCTGATCTTGGCCACGCCTCCGTTTAGCCGTCAGGAGAAATTCTATGCTACGCTAGTTAGGTACGTGGGGGATCGGAAAAACCCAGTCTGTCGAGAAATGTCCATGGCGCTCTTGTCGAACCTTGCCCAAGGGGACGCGCTGGCAGCGAGGGCCATAGCCGTGCAGAAAGGGAGCATTGGCAACTTGATAAGCTTCCTAGAGGACGGGGTCACCATGGCCCAGTATCAGCAGAGCCAGCATAACCTCCTGCACATGCAGCCCCCGCCTCTGGAGCCCCCGAGCGTGGACATGATGTGCAGGGCGGCCAAGGCTCTGCTGGCCATGGCCAGGGTGGACGAGAACCGCTCGGAGTTCCTCCTGCACGAGGGCCGGTTGCTGGATATCTCGATATCAGCCGTCCTGAACTCTCTGGTTGCGTCTGTCGTCTGTGACGTACTGTTTCAGATCGGGCAGTTATGACACCCGAGAGAAGGCAGCATGTGTGAGTGAAGACTAGAGGCTCCCGTATCACTGGCTGTTTTCTGTTCTTGTTTATCCAGCGTAGGAAGAAGGAAAAGAAAATCTCTGCTCCTCTGCCCCGTTCACTATTTACCAATTGGGAATTAAAGAAATAATTAATTTGAACAGTTATGAAATTAATATTTGCTGTCTGTGTGTATAAGTACATCCTTTTGGGGTTTTTTTTATTTTGTTTTCGTTTTTTTAACCAAAGTTGCTGTCCTAGTGCATTCGGAGGTCACTTTTTGTTTCTCACAGATTTTCTTTTTAATGTTCTTTTCTATGTTGTATTGCATTTTTTTTGGGGGGGGGAAGCAAATTGACTTTAATGAAAAAAATGTGGCAAAAGATGCTAAGATGGGAAAATTTCACCACACTGAGGCAAAAAGGTGAAAAATTATCAACTTCCTAGGCATGTTATTCTTCAGATAATGGAAAAAAACAAAAACAAAACAAAACTGTATCCCATCGCCCAAAGCTCTGTGCAATAGAAACTTCTAGAGATGTAGGAATAGGGGCTCAAGGAGGTGTGTCAGTCAGTAGTCAAACTATGAAACGATACTGGTTTCTCCACAGGAAAATGGTTACATTAGGCTAGGAGCAAAAACAATGTTTTGTTTTTTTTTTTTTTTTAAGTTAAGATTGAAAATACGTACCTGACAACGATCAACGGAAACTGCTTTCTCACCACTACCGTCATGTCTGCTGTCTGTCTGACCTTCCACGTGACAGTTCTTCACAATTCCTTTAATCATTTTTTAAATATTTTTTTTTACTGCCCATGGGCTGTGATGTATATAGAAGTTGTACATGAAACATACCCTCATGCTTTCTTTTTCTTTTCTCTCTCTTTTTTTTTTTTTAGTACAAAGTTTTTAGTTTCTTTTTCATGATGTGGTAACTACGAAGTGATGGTAGATTTAAATAATTTTTTATTTTTATTTTATATATTTTTTCATTAGGGCCATATCTCCAAAAAAAAAAAAAAAAAGAAAGAAAAAAGACAAAAAACAAAAACAAACAAAAAAAAAAACCACAAAAAAAAGAGGGTAATGTACAAGTTTCTGTATGTATAAAGTCATGCTCTATTTCGGGAGAGCGGCTGATCACAATTTGCTTCATGAATCAAGGTGTGGAAATGGTTGCATATGGATTGATTTAGACTATGGTTACCAGTACAGACAAAAAAGAAAAAATACAACTAAAAGGAAGAAACACAACTTCAAAGATTTTTCAGTGACAAGAATCCACATTTGTATTTCAAGATAATGTAGTTTAAAAAAAAAAAAAAAACTTGATGTAAATTCCTCCTTTTCCTCTGGCTTAATGAATATCATTTATTCAGTATAAAATCTTTATATGTTCCACATGTTAAGAATAAATGTACATTAAATCTTGTTAAGCACTGTGATGGGTGTTCTTGAATACTGTCCTAATTTCCTTACAGTGGTTTCATAGTAACCAAGTTCTTCCCAAGAAATAATAGGGGAAACCCCAGCCGTGTACTAACATAGTCCTCATCGCGAAGCCCTGAGGTCGGGAGGGGCCTTTAGGGATTACCTACCTTAGAGTGGGGAGCAACAGTTTGATTTTCTCAAATTACCTAGCTGATGAGCCTTTGTTTGAAGCAATCAACTCTTAACGACACTGAGGTATGAGAATTTCCGGTGTATATGGGAGGTGGCTGCTTAGCCCAGGAGCTCACTGGCCTGACAATGTAACGCTCTGCCTTTTACTAACCCCATCTTGATTTGAATCAGAGATCGATCTAATCCATGTCTCTTCTGTGTGCCTCAGAGGTATTTTGCATTTCGTTTACTCCACCGTGTATAATACTTATATTGTGCAATGTTAAAAAAAATATGTTATATTGTATGTGGTGTACATAGTGCAAAGTGATTATTTCTATTTCAGGGCATATTAATATTCTCCTATTCCTTCCTACCTGGTGCGCAGTAGCTTTTTAATACTAGTCACTTCTAATTTAAACTTCTTCTTCCTGGGTCCTTGACTGTTATTGTGTCACACTCAGTTTCTTTGAAACTGCTGCAGAATTAAGCTGTTAGCGGACTCCCTTCTGACGCTACCTCTCCACCACCCTACCAGTCCCAGCACACTCAGACACCCCAAGTCCTTTCGCCAGACCTGTGGCCCCAGGGGTCGCACCCGGAAGAGTTAGACGAGAGCACGCAGCTGCGATCAGCGTGTGAAACGTGACTCGAGGGTCATGACAAACAGAGTCTTCTGCGAGCAGTGAAATCCTCCTCTGTCAACCCCCCACATTACTTAGTCACACAGTCTTCGTACTTAACAATGCAGCTAAATATATGTTGAATTAAAGCCCCACTTATAAGTCTACTTTAAATACATCTGCTTGCTAAGAAGAGATTTTAGTGCTCCGAGCTTCAAATCCGAAGATTTGTACGCGGGAACTTGATAGGAGTCTAACCGTTCTCTTAGCAGAGCATGAATAAAACGTACACAGACTCTGACACCCCAAATCTTCTGTCATTCGAAAAAGTAAAATCATTACAAAAGACTGTTGTTTTCATGGTTTGAGTTGTAATCAATACCTAGAGTCTAACCATTGAGCAACAAGTTTTTACATGCTAATATGCAATGTAACCTCTAGAATAATCCAGGAAGACTTTAGCATCCTTTCTACAGTCACCCCAGAACCAAGACTGCAGAAGCCCACGAAGAACTTACAGCCTGCCTGAGATCATCCTGCCTACAAACTGAGTTATTGCTTTGTCCTAAAAATTAGTTGTTTTTTCTTTTTTTCCCTATGAGGCTTTTCGGAAATTTACAGGATGCCCGTACTTTAAATGTGTACGAAAAAAAAAAAAAGATAAAAATAAAGGTGCAAAGAAAGTTTAGTATTTTGGAATGGTGCTATAAAGTTGAATCTGTTGGTATTTGAGTGCATTTTTTTAATGTCACATAAGAGATATCGGGTGGCATGTGCTCAGAAATAACTATTCAAATGTTTTGTTTGAGGTTGAGAATGATAGAGAATCCGTTTTCATTGGCGAATGTGGCCTATTCAGAAACTAGTTACGCTGTCTTTGAAAAGTTATAATAGAGAATGGTTTTTTAAGGGGTGGATGAGCAGTTGGATGATATAGTATAAGCTATTAACTACCTCTTTTATGGAAAGAATCTGGCCTTTGCCCTGAAATCCATCCATTTAAAAACTGTTGGAAATCTTTCATTCCCTGTCAAACCCCATGGACCAATTCCCATTATCTGTTCACCTGCAAGGAAGCAGAGAAGGTATTATAAATGAGCCAAAAATGACAATCCAAACAACCTATCTTCTTGCTGAGTTGTGTTTCAGTTCTTTATCGGAGAGCTGGAAGCCCAGCCGCCTGACGGTTCCTGCCCTCCGTCCTCCACCCTCACCCCCGTCAGCACCACAGAGAACTTCCTAGTCAGGCGAGCTTTCAGCGCTGCCGAGACCTATTTTTGGTGGTAGTATATAAGCTGCTAAGATGTCTCCTTCTTCACTAACTCAGCAGAGAGGTGTCCACACACTGCGGGCCCAGCCCTGTTCTAGGCTCCCAGGAGTCACTCACAAAGACCCTGTTTACAATCACATGATAGGCTTTGGGGTCAGACGGTGACAGACACGGTTTCCAAATGTGGTGCTTACGTGTTGAGAACACTTAGTGCATTTTTGTTGACTGAAAATCTAAGGCTCTAGCTGCAGCTCCTCAGAGGGCGGTGGGAACCGCTGTGGACTGAACATCAAGGATACTGAGTCAAGGCTCAGCGCCAGGCTGACCTATAATTACTAGGAAAAACGGTCTCCGCGGCCCCCTCCTGGCCCCTAAAATGGGAGTTTATGGCCTCTGGCTCCTTTCCTGCTCATGCTCATGTCAGGGCGCATGTGTGTTCTGGAGTGGAGGGGACAAAGCCTATCATGGGACCCAGGGATGCCAGGCCACTGGGTAAGCCCTTGGAAATGCAGGAATCGATCGAAACTCTACAAGAAGACCTTATCAAGGCCTTTTTTGTCCTTAGGTCCCACAGACCCTGCCGTGTGCCCGTGCCCACCTAGCTCCCCGTCACCACACTCCCTGCCTCTGTCTCTGATTCCCCAAGTCCTACTTTTGTTTGATGATGCTCCAAGTCCTCCAGAACGCCACAGTCCAATTACCAAGTTAATTCACTTTGGGATGTAAACATAGGAAACCCTGAGAGGAAGTTGGGGCAAGACCATCAACTGTGTTCTTCCTGAGTCTGCTTTCAGGGACTTGAAGTTTTACCCCAGCTTTTTCAAAGCATATTCTAAGAAACGGAAGAGCGATCTCAAAAAACAAAAACGACCAAAAACCCTACATATTCTCCCCTTGGCCATCTGTAATCCATATTATTGTAGTAAAGACTGAGAAAGCCTACAGAAAAGAAGCCTGTTTATCGCAAACATTTCCTGACTTGATTAACCTTGGAACCCTTTTTTTTCTCCTGTGAACTTGCTGCAGAGCTTTGGTAGATTACCCGCATTAGCCCAAGAGCCTGCCTCACTTCCTAACCGCCATATTGCTCCCTCACCCAGAGTGCGTTCTACCTTAAACTGAAATGGCGATGAAATCTCTTGCTGTCCCTGTGACCTTGAGCAAGGTACTTAAATTCTTTGAGCCTCAGTTTCCTGACCCATAACATGGGGTAATGCTGACCTCAGGATTGGTGAGGATTAAAGGAGATGATTTTTTTTTTTTTTTAAGATTTCATTTATTTATTTGACAGAGAGAGACACAGCAAGAGAGGGAACACAAGCAGGGGGAGTGGGAGAGGGAGAACAGCAGGCTCCCCGCAGAGCAGGGAGCCCGATGCAGGGCTCAATCCCAGGACCCTGGGATCATGACCCGAGCCGAAGGCAGACGCTTAACGACTGAGCCACCCAGGCGCCCCTAAAGGAGATGATTCTATAAAGACCTGGTAACCTGCATGATCACTGTGTATTACCCTGGACACACCCACACACTCTTCCTTTGGTGGTGCCCTCAAGCATGTTTAACGGAAGTTTAAAATCTCACCCAAGAGACTCTCTTCCTGTTTTCAGAACCAGCCACACAGTTTGTGACTTTTATGGTTTCAGTTTTCTAGTAAAAACCATAAAGGCTTAGTCAGTTGACTGCCTGTGTCTAGCGGGCAAGGTGATTGTGCTTAATTTCTCTAACACAGGTCAGTTTGGGGACTTGGACATCCAGAGATAGTGGGAGACCTCACCTGTAACATCCCAGGCCCGGAGGGAGGCATATTTGGAAGACAGTCGTGCAACAGGCTTTGTCCTTTCCTGCCCCCAAACGAAACAGTGGCTAGGAACATCTTCCAGAGGTCAGATGTAGCAGGTGGCTGACCACAATGTTTTACTTTGCTGTTCGTTTTCATCTGGTGCAGAGAGCAGAGAGCTTTCCTGAAGAAAAGGAACTCTAGTCTTCACACTGAGCTGGAGACTGGCCACGTTTCTGTGGGCTACCAAAAAAGGAATTCAGGACGCTCTTCCTTTCCACGTGGGCTTAAGGTCAGGTAAATAAATGAACCTTGAGCTTTGATCTTCTGCATAAATTTGGTATTTAGATGGCCCAGGATCTGTACATTCTACGCACTACGTAGATTTTTCCAAAGACTTAAGGAACCTACACTTGGATTCAGCCCCTTGAAGATATCCTTGTCCAAACAGAAGCAGTTTCTTACGGCAAAAACCGGCGGCATTTATAACACCGCTTCCTAGTAAGTGGTGATTATTTCACATTTGGATTTTTTTGTGCTTGAAGGAATGTCATGGCTATTAGTTGTCTTCACAGAAGCCTCGGTATAGAACTTTATAACATCCATTCTCCAGAATCAGAAGCATAGGCTGACACGCAAAGTGGTTGGAACCAAACTGAGACCTCCCCTTTCCAAGAATGTGTGTTTGCCTAAGAAATGTTTTCAGCTCTACACAAAATCCAGAGGATCCAAGGACTTTTAAAAAAGCCATGGTGTACGTTGGCCACAGATTCGGGGGGGGGGTCTCTTGTAAAACCTCATCATCAAGACATGATGTCAGATGCTCACTCTACATCTGTACCTCCGTTAAAAGGAATATAGTCCAAATTTAAAACAAAATCTGCGAAGTCTGGGCAGTGCTCTGCCCTTGTATGATAAATTCTTCTGAGAGTCTCTCCTTACTGCGGTCTTCATAATCCATAGTTTTATCTGCAGATTTTGTGTTGAGATGCAGATGTAACTTTGACCCTCTCCCCGGTGTAAGCAGCCCATGTTACAGGTCTCTGACCTCTGAGGCTTTCCTGGGCCTCCCTCCTCATCCTCACGCCCAATGAATTCCTACCGGCAACTCATGATTACATCCCTGCCGGACACAAGATACTCAACCAAAGACTAAGATTCCCA